AAAACTTTTCAAATCATCGTTAAAATTTTCAGCAGGTGCACCTCCCCATCTTTGACATTACTTTGGATCAATTGGGGTTTTCCTCACTTACCTCCTTGGTTTCAAAATGTAGGCCCCTGGTATGTTTGAGAAGTCCCAGCCAAGGACAATCTTTTGTAGGATCTTTCGGCTGTTTTTGGTTATCACTGTATGCTCCCAATAACAGTTCCTCCTCCTTTGATATTTTTCATCTCATTTTTGTTTCATAAAACAAAACAAACAAATAAAGTTTCTTCATGAGAAAATGCTGAATCTTCCAATTTATTGTCATTTATTTTTTTCAACATGACAGTAAGTTACAAGGTACATGTGTACACATTCCATCACACATTGACCACACACACTTACCACAGGACGTGTCCTGTACACAAATATACACAAATACCCACACATATATCAATACATTTACACCAGTGTAACTTCTTCATACAAATATTTGTTTATTTAAACATGGATGCTGTTCCATACCTTTGTAGGGCATTATCCCCAACACAACATCGTAAGTGTCTCCATAACCATACATTACAAACGCGAAGGGGACACTTAAGGCGCCACCCAAAACATTCAATCACTTTTTGGAAAAATTCTCACATGAAACCCTGTCACAAAATCATACTAAAATATCACTGACCCTTTGGAGTACCCCATCCTCAAATCTCAGGGGCACCTTAGGGGTATTCTAGACTGACACTTGCTTATAATATTCAGGGTTTCTAATACCCGATTTTCCTAAACTCTCAAGGTTCCCCTTTCAGTATCCTAATCATACAAGAGTCACACAATCTGGGGCCCTTTTAGGGGTTTACCAGACATATAATGTCCAAAACCCTAAAGGGCCCCATCAAGGATGCACCAAGTTTACAAATGTCCCATATGTATTTACTACTAATAGATACCAAAATGTTCAAATGGTTTCAAATCTCGCTTAAAAAATGACTAAAAGTTGAAATTGATAAAAATAAATGATTCTCCTCTTTTCTTGCTGAGCAAGTTGTTTTTTTTTTAAAGTTAGCTTTTTCTGCCTTTTTTATTTTAAATCTGTTAAATTCTGTTTGTATTGGTGATAGAATATGATTTAACTAAAAAATACATTTAATGAAGTTAAAAAAATTTTTGATGGTAATTAATATGCACCATTACACAAGATAGTATAATAAAACAGTTAACAAGGAGTTCTAGATAAAACAATGCACAATAACCAACAATAAATAGTGTTACTATCACGCGCAGGAACATCTCTTTTTTCTTCTCATGATATACAGTGATACTGATAAAAAGCTATCATACACTTGCATTGTGTTTAACACTGATTACAGGAATCCAAAGTACTCTCTGCTTATGCTACTATAATCCAAGGGAGGTAACCCACAACTGCTGACTGGAAGTAAGAAGCTAGGTTTATGAATTAACAGTATTAAAGCATTTGTTGGCATTCCTACCAAAACTGTAATAGATGTGGATGGGCTTATTACAAGACAGGGTAAAGCTGATGTCCAGATTCTGAACATTTTAACAAGAGTTACTGCCAATCATCTGTATGTTCCTGTTGTCTAATGCAAATCATGTACTTAGAATTATCACCCATAATTCAGACAAACCCAGTTTATTTTTTTAGTTTTTCTGTAACAACTTTTTGATATAATGCCCTCCTCTCTATTTGTCACTTTACATCTTAGTTTGATTTCCTGCAATTTCTTATTTTGTCCATGAAAGCCTTTATGTTGCCAATATATTCATGGAAAATGATGGCAGTACTTCCACTTAACAACATTTTGAAATTTTGAAGAGAGAAATCATGCATATCCTAAAATCCATTATTCACCTCTCTGTGATGCATTAACCGACCTGATAGTGATAGGACCAAGATACAATTCATTATTTAACCCCATCTAATGATCAATTGTCATTTTTCTTAATCGATCAACGGCACCTGATTAAGTTACATCTAAGCAAAAATCAAATTCATTTGATGTATAAAAATGACATCAGTTGCAAAAAATGCTCATTATTATGCAAATTCCCTTCACTATTATTAACCTCCTCGGACAAACTGAACACCGGTATTCTAAATTATATAAAACAAAATGTGTTACTTTTGAAAAGTTTGGGAATTTCTTTCCTAAAAATGGCAGGCTTTTAGTTTAAAGAGAAATTACTGTAAATAACGCAGCTGAAAAGTCATGTGATCAAACATTAGGTCACATGATTTCATTCATAAAAGCTCCACTGTCACACATACAATTTTTAACTTTGACCCCCCCCCCCCCCCCCCACCTTTCACACATTCAGTGTAACAAACTGATCTATTTCGATTCGGGTCGATTTAACATCAAAATGTAATTTACAAGATATGGAGGGCTTAAAACCAATCACAATCATGATAAAATATAACAAGAGGCTACAGGGGCCTGTATCAACAATTCAACTGCTAGTCACAAGATAACTCTTACTTCAGATTTTGTTGTGTTGTTTTGTCTGGAAAGTTTTCTGCACAAGCAAATGATGAAAATATCTCAAGTCAATTTCAACATCGATTCAATATATCATTAAAAAAAAATTAAATAAATAAAAAGAAGCCACTTTCAAAAGAATAACAGAAAGTAAAATCACACTTTCTGAACTTTTCTGATTAAGTGATAAATTATCAATTGTTTATAGAGAGGCAGTTTTTGGGCTCCTGAAACACAAATCTAAGCAACAGAGTAGAAACTGTTGATAAGATGATAAATTTCTACCATATGTGTCGATAAGATCCATGATTTTTATAGTTTATTTATTATTACAGTTACAACTCAAAATTAGGACTGTATCTACTGTAAAACTGATTTCAATTAAAAATGTTTCAAAGACAATTTTACTGTTTATAAATTTAAAGTAATTATTGGGATCGAGGACATTAAATATTCTCAGAACTTTCATATCTACTAAACTGTAGAGAAAGTTCTGAACAAACTGGAGATAGATGGCTATGTTACCTCAACTCAAACACATTTGTGTTTCAGCATCTCTTAACCAATTGTACAATAGTAAACTTCATTTCAGAATAAAAAACATTATTCATGTGAAAATATTAAAAAATTGTTTAAAAATTTCCAACTTGGGACAAAATTTTCCAAATCTATTAAAAAATTTAAAAAAACATCCCGATTGTTTTGGCTTGATAGGTATGCCTCCTTGTACTTGTGGATAACATCTTGATCTCAGAGAAGCTGATGGGAACAGAATGTAAATGCATGAGATTAATCTCAAAATACATCCTCATTTAATTCTTCACTTGAGTCTTATTAAATTGGATTCTAATTCAAATGAAATAAATCTGAATTCATAAATGAAGCAAACTTTGGTTCACTTTGCCAAAATTAAAACCTGTCTTCTTTTTATGCATCATAAGATATGAGAAACTACTTAAAATGGAAAGTGAAAATAGAAATACTTACAAATTACTAAGTACACGATAAGTTACTAGTTATCTGTAGAAATTCAGACACATTTCATTTTAACCGTGTTTCAATAGATTTGCATTCTATACGTTATTTCAGCCTCTCCAACAACTTGACACAGAATGTTCAACCTCATGCAAAATAAAATTTTCAATGAAAGACATATAACAAGATATATCAGTTAAGATATTCATTGTATGTGTTTATGTGTTAACTTTGACATAAATGAAAGTAAACCCCCTCCCTGCCCCACCTGCCAAGAAAAAATAAAAAGTTATTAAAATTCATACTCAGAGGACTGAATATTGATTCTCTCAATTGAAAGATCGAGTGACTGCAAAACTTGACAAACTTCAACACTGTATGTTATACGATTTCAACAAGGTATATTTGGAGTTAAGATTAGAGACCTGTGTGGTACAAGGGAAATAACTCTTGCACAAACCTGCTTCCTGAATTTTCAGAAAAGCTACTGAAGTCCTTGTCGCACATTTTTTTCTGTATTTCAAAACTTCTTAGAACATCCAATTTTTCAAATTTACATGAAACATTTCCATGTTTGGTTCTTATTTCTAAACAACATGTTCAAGTATTTGAAACAAACAATAAAAACCAATTTACAACATCACCACGGTAACAGTATAACAGTAGATACCTTATCTGTAAGTGTTTCTCTGCATTTTAATTTGTAATTTTAGTTCCTGGGACAGTGAGATTTGTGTTCTTATACATCACTGGTGTGTGTATAGTGTGTTAAACTGTAAGTTTTCAGTAATCAAGTGAGGTTGGACAAAGTTATACAAGATATCACAGAAAATCTACTTCAGTGATGTTGTCGATCAGTAGTTAGTGAAAAATTTGAATTGTTGTCACTGAAAAAGCAGGGTTTTCTAACGCAAAATTTACACTCAAAATACATCAATCTGCCCTCTCTCCGTAAATTAACAGCTGAGAAACAATCAAGAATGTTCCCAATTTCGTTTTAATTATATCTGAGTTATATCACTTAACACTGGATAATTCTAACCATGCTTGGACAAAACTGGGGTCAGAACTTAAAGTTCCTATACACAGTGTTAGAAACCCATGATTTTGCCAGGTCAATGCTAAGAACTTAATTGAAAGCTGATTTTCAACAGGCCTATATTTACATATTTGACTCAGTGTTTCTAATATCATCAGTAGTATTGAACAAATCGTAAGTGATTATAAATTAAATTAAATTCCGACAGACGACTAGAATCATTCTGAGTGGAGCCCTTTAGATACTTTCCCCTACCCAAATCTTCTCTTCACATTTCACTATTCCCAGATTTTGACTGTTCAGAAAAAAATTGTCATTTTCAAATTAATATCAATGAATGCCCCTTCACTCCTACAGTAACTCAATAGAATTTTCAATGATAAACAGTTTGCGAAGTAGAGGACCAGATCAATGGAATTTCTAATAATGATAAATTAACTAATTTGCAATATCATCTTCACAGACAACATCACTCAATATTTCATCATAGAATGAGAGTTTGAAAAAACAAGGAAAAATGTACCTAACATTCTTGTGAAGGTGATTTTAATTCAGCCATCAGAGTAAGTGACCCCATATTTCATAAATATTTTCATTAATCTTATCAGAGTTTGCTAAAGGTCAAAGGTTAAAACACTTGGGGGAGTGACCTATTTTTGGTATGCGACACACCCATTTCCACTTCCCAGAAAGGAACCTATACATTAATGGATGGATGGACGGACGGACAGACGGCCCTTAGTTGTAAAATATACACCCATTATTGAAAGTGGGGTTACAGTGTGTAATAGATGCCCTGTAAAGATGTTTGTATTGTGTCTACCAATACATTAAAATTTACCTCACTAATTTCACTATACAACCAACATCTGACTTCAGACAATGAATAATTAAATAAAAACATTAATATTTAACAAAAAAAAAAAAAAAAGTGATAATCGTGATTATAAAAACCTGTTTTTTAACCATGCATTATGTACAGAGTTTACAGGAAACGCACCTTTTCTTAGCATAAAAGAGCCTCACAGACCCTGACACCCTTGTATCGATCCAGGCATTTACTCCAGCAACTCAATCGTCTTCCCTTAAGATCAGTTTGCAACAGTTTACAAGGATGTGAGGGTCTGACCAAAAAGCCAAAAGCATTTTTTTATTATCACAGACCAAAAATGTTTTATATTCCCGTAAAGGAACTGTACCAAAAGCATATTTATATATATCAGTTTTAACAAAAGTGACCTTTGATACAGTCCCTTCCTTTAAATGCACATGTACGCCATGTCATCAAATTGTGAATGAACCATTTATAAAATCTGAGAACTTCAACATTTTGATATGACATGACAATGAACCACAGGTAAGATCTAACACAACCAGATGTTTACAGCGTTTGGTGCACAGTGTCAGAATACAAACATTTACAGGAATTAGATTTACAAATATTTTAGAAATACCAAGGGCACAAATACAATATTGTTGAGAATTGAAAATTTTGAGTGATGACACAACAAAATGTTTTGAGTGTTAAAATCTCACCAAGGAATCTTACAAGCTCAAACAATTGGTATTTTATCTTTTCACACCTGAAGTTTTTTCTTCTCTCCTCACATTGGAAGGACAAAAATATCGACACTGTGCACACCATCACTTAAAACATTTTTTAAAACACGATATTCAGGCAGCCATCATAGATTGATGCCAGACAATAGTTCCTGACACAGCGCCCGATAGTGTCCCTTATCACCGGAGATCCGCCGTACCTGTAGGCCGTTATAGCTAACTCCTTGACACACTTCAAGCTCCATCTGAACGTCAGAGTTCTCTAAGCGGAATAAATGATCCGAACACTGATACACTATCTCCTTTCCACGATCTCCCAGAATTCTCTTCAGTTCCTGTAATATGTCCCCAACAGCTCGTGTGGAGGTGAGATTGATGTTCGAGCCTTGAACCTTGTTCAATCCTGGAGACTCTAATAAGTTACCATGTCCTATACTATTGTACACATTTTGTTCGTCCTGTTTCACAGACGACATATCAACGTCTTGGATAAGATTTTGATCACCATTGTAAACAACTCTATTGCTATGGGCTTCAATCGGAACACTTGCACTTGAATTTTGTACACCTACATTCTGGAAATTCACTGAATCCAGAACACTCCTTCCTACCCCTGGTGACTGTCGACTACCAGCCATTCGCCCAGAACTAGGTCGTTGTGACCTATTTTGTGAGGACAGCTGTGGACTAGCCCATCCACATGTGTAGGGAATGTTGGCATGGCTAGGATCAGGCGTGGAGTAGCCTTTGAGGTTACCGAGGTCCGTCACAATGGAAGGAATAGCAGCCAGATTTGTGATGTAATTTCCGAAGATGAGCGAATTATAAGTGGCAGGGTGAGAGGTGAAGTTAGTAGGGGGATGCGACTGATGATTAGGTGAGGCTGGAGAGGAATGAGAATGGGTGAGAGGGCGATGAGAACGTGTTGGAGATGGCTGAGGAGAACTTTGTGAACTTGATGAGTCCTGAAAGTTGTGATATGTTCCTGACTTTGCAGAGAGGGCATCGACATCTGTTGTCGATGGAGACATCTCATTCTCGCCCTCTGAAGTTACATCTGTCACATGACCAGTGGTGTCAGTAATACTGATCTGTGGCTTTCCTGAAAACTGTCTGTGTTTCTTTTCCTGGGAGGCGAACTCACCCTCTCCAACCTGCATGTTGACCTCACCGTCCTCACTGGGACTCTGATCAGGGAGGTCTTGTGAGTCTTCTTTAATCATCTGAAGGTTCTGAAAGTTAGTGATGTTGGGTGGTGGACTGTTCCGCTGGTGCGGCTGACTGAAATTCTGATACAACTGGGAGAAATTCTGAGGAGGTGAATCAGTGCGTTGCATTGGAAGGCAAGTGGGTGGAGACCCTCTTTGATATGGCTGCTGTGAGTTCTGGATCTGCTGGTGTAGATGGAGGCGCTGAAGGTGTTGGTACAGAGTTGCACTCTGAGAATCTGTAGTTGTTGCAGTGTGCCGTGCAAAGCTTGGAGAGGCTGGAGCTAGTGGTGGCGAGGGTACAGGTGAATGCTGTATTGTAGTAGTAGGCTGAAAAGAGATAGAAGGTCTGTGTTAAGTATATTTGTCTTAATATAAAAATAAATAGTAAAACATAAGCATGCAATGCAATGTGATGCATGGGTCATATTTATCAAAACCTTCACATGTTTAAAAGAAAAAAAAAATTTTTTTAATGTAAATTTTTTTAAAACAACACTTATAGACTAAATTGAGACTAAAAGTTGAAAAAATAAATCAAGATGTTGTGGTTATCCTCCTCCAGGATTATCTATTTATCTATTTACATCTTTAATAGGTTATACATCCATTCTACGACCTTTCAGCTGAGGAGGCAACACAGGGGAAGAAGTGTGTATCATTATACATCCAAATTCTAATATCAACAAATTCATTCTGTCATAAGAAGTTTTATCAAGATAAACAAGGAAGAAAGTTTTCAGGTGAAGGTTTTCTTTGGGACAAGGGAGACAACTTCTACAATGTTAAAGTTTATTATTATATATCTAAAATCTTGTATCAATAAATTAACATCAACATTAAAAGTTTTATCAGGTGAAGTTTTTCTATGGGACAAGGGAGACAACTTTTACAATGTTTAAGTTCATTTCAACATCTGAAACAGAGACAGAGTAAAAAAAGGATGATTAAAAAAAACCAACATAAGAATACAAAATAAATAAAATTAGTAAAAAAGGATTTAAAAAAACCCACAAGAGGTGATGAGTCTTTCATGAATTCATCTATAAAAGAAACACATAGTAACCTTTATGTAATTTTCAGTGTCGGCAACTTCTAGTCATCAAATCTCTGGTCACAGACTTCCCAATGAAGAGGACCATCCAAATAAAAGACCTTATAATCTTTTGTAAAGTTATTACATTTATACATATTTAGGTGATGAAGCTCATTGTTATGTTTGAATTTAACTTTTTATATTAGATCCAAAAACTCTGAAATTTTTGAATACTGATAAAAAGTAAAGAAATATCAGTTGACTAACTTTATACGATTCCAGCTGAACATGACATGTCCAATAAGAATTTGTTCTGACAAAGGTGAGTTGGTGACACTGAATTTGATGTAATTGTCTACCTGTATCATAAACAGTATTAGTTAAAATGGAATGATATATATAACAAGAAACAAAACAAAATATGTCCATACATACATGTATCTCCAAATTTGACACTGTTATAAAAGAATGGTAGAATGGTACATGGGTGTGTTCCAGTGACAGGATTATTTCCACCAGAGTTTGGCTGGTTAGCAAGAGGATCTGTGGACTTCCAAGAGTTGACAAGCCAAACTTTTACTCTGGGGTTGAAATATCCCTGTCTGTGGTACTGATCATGTTTGATTATTTTTCTTAATCCCTTTTTCGATTCTCATAGATAAAAAAACTGCAAGCTGTTTGGAAACCTTTTCATTGCACTATCATCAATATTCCATGAAATGTGCCACGTTGTTATGTAAGATGATGATGCTACAACATTGTGAGTGATATCGGACCACATATTACAGCTGTAATTGTCTCGTCTCTACCTAGGGGATAAAACAGATTCCTATTTATACTTCCTAAAAACCCAGAAATACTTGAGAATTATGGAAGAGAACAAAATCGTTAACAGATTTATTCCAAGACTTTCTAAATCTACAGTATCTCAATCATTTTGGTTACCAGCTTAAAAAAGTATGAACAAAAAATCCAAGAATTTTTTTAATTATTCAACTAAAAAAATCTATAAAGTCTAAATTTCATACATTTCTTTCAAAATTTTTTCTGTAATCTGTTCAAAATACAATTTAAAACAATGTCTACACTGGACTCTGTCTAACCAGATTTCTGTATCTTCAGCTGACTACAGATTTTCTGAAATTCAGAAATCTCCAGCTGGTCAAATAATTCAGTCTCAGTAAAAGAAGAACAAGGTCGCAGATTCTGGTCCCAGGGGAGGTGGATTCTGGTCCCTTTGTCGTCGGATTCTGATCGCAAGGGACAATGATTCTGGTCCGAGGGGATTTAGGTTCTAGTCTAAGGGGAGGTAAGTTCTAGTCCCACGGGAGGTATGTTCAACACCCAGGGGAGATAAGTTCTAGTCCAAGGAGAGGTAAGTCCAAGACCCAGGGGAGATAAGTTCTAGTCCAAGGAGAGGTAAGTCCAAGACCCAGGGGAGATAAGTTCTAGTCCCAGGAGAGGTAAGTTCTAGTCCCAGGGGAGATAAGTTCGAGTCCCAGGGGAGGTAAGTTCAAGACAAAGGGGAGATAAGTTCTAGTCCCAGGATAGGTAAGTTTAAGACCCAGGGGAGGTAAGTTCCAGTCCCAAGGGAGGTAAGTTCTAGTTCCAGGGGAGGTAAGTTTAAGACCCGGGGGAGGTAGGTCCCCGGGGAGGAAGTCCCAGGGGTGGTAAGTTCAAGAAGTTTAAGAGGCCCAGGATAGGTAAGTTTAAGACCCAGGGGAGGTAAGTTCCAGTCCCAAGGGAGGTAAGTTCTAGTTCCAGGGGAGGTAAGTTTAAGACCCGGGGGAGGTGAGTTCTAGTCCCTGGGGAGGCAAGCTCTAGTCCCAGGGGTGGTAAGTTCAAGACCCAGGGGAGGTAAGTTCTAGTCCCAGAGGAGGTAAGTTCTAGTCCCAAGGAAGGTAAGTTCTAGACCTAGGGGAGGTAGGAGGCTTCTGCTCCCAGTGGAGATCTGAGCAAAATGAGATATATAAACTTTAACATGATATTTCATTCATTTTGTCAAAACACAACTAGACAACCACTGATTTTCTATTCATGCCTGTCCCTGTAATCTAACTAAATGTGAGGTGTAAATGTGGCTGTAGTCATGCAGGTCATGTGATTGGTGATTAGTTTTGTTCCATGGTCTGCAGTCATGTGATCTGTGACACTGTATAAGACTAACACAACATGGAATATATTTAGACATTAGTGATGGAAGTGAGTGACTTTTATGACCTTGCATTATAAATTTCATCTGCCATTTTCTCCAGATGAAATAGATAAATGTACCGTATTTGACATAAAAAAACACAAAAGTACGGCACACCAGGATCCGTAAATGACAAAAAGGCTAAACGTTATGGCACACCATTATGTCCTTTTTTTCATTATCATACAACAGATTGCGAGACTTGGTCTCTCTGTTATCCCTAATAAGAAAAACACTATATAGGTAAAAGTTTGCTGCAAGTTAAATTTGCCATCAAATGATTTATAGATCGTACTTCAAACCTAATTCATTTTTATATTTAGAGGTGAAATACGCGAAAGTTTAAGTGTGATGGTTATACAGTATATTCATCCCATCCATCAAAATGATCATAACATCGACAAATAACCCTCAGTTTGTATTTTTATTTTATTCCACTGACTTTAACAGGTACTCCTTTAAGCGAAATAAGCAACAGGTTTTATGTCTGGAAATGAAAAAATTCAGAAAAGATGAAAATTGAGGCAAATTATCGCCGAGATTGGTAATAAACCAATACATTTAACAACATCTTGACTCCTGGAAAGCTAGTTATCACCTTTTTTTCATTATTTACAACACATTTATTCAGTCAAATTTTCAATAATGTCTTGATGTTAGTAAAACCATGTGTAAATGATGGAAGCATATACAACAGTATAGGAGTATATAATAAAGCAGGTGATAGCTACTGAGAGTCAAAGAAACAGGAAAGTGTTTAGTACTAATTCTCCCACCACTCAAATTATCCATTACAACCCAAAAATCTCAGTTTTCTTATTACAAATAACAAATATTCAATAACTTTTTCTAATACTGAATTCCTAGATTTTTTCTTTACTAAACTGGAAAATTTTTCATGAATAGTTCCTAAAATGATTTTCAGAGGCAAAATACCTCCCACCAGAACAAGTTACATAAGCTCAAAATTCAAAGAAAAATAATCTTTTTAAGATTGTATTATACCATATATCCTTAATATAAATAGATCAGGAAATATAAAAATCAATTTTAACAAAAATTTTCCGTTTTTACCAATGAGATAACAATAAAAAATATGTATATCTGAAAAATTTTGTACACCAAAATTGAATGATGATGAAAAATTTATCCTTATTCCTTGTAATGCGTAGTGGAAGGACAGCTCTGTAAGTTTAACCACCAGCTGATGAGTAAAGCTTTATGAAGATCTGACCTAAAACTTGTAATGGCAGGAGATTTCCAGGTATGACCTTCACCTTGGCTATGCTGAATTGGACCAATCAAGGACATAGGCAGGAATGTCCTGTTAAGCTACAAATGCTGTTAAATGAGGTTCTATATTCATAAAATTACACGAAACATTATCATAACTTTCTTATTTTCAATCTGTACCCTTGACCCTTTCAGTTACATTTCAAACTACTTGATGAAAAAAAGGTTAACCTTTAACCCTTACCATCTCACCCCTAACCTCTAACCTGCACATTTTGTTCCTGTCTCCAAGCCTATTGTCAAGGCTCTGTAAGCAAATGATCTCTGACCTTACTCAAGAAATCTTTAGTCATGAATTTCTAGCATTTAAGCCCAGATTCCTAACTGATGACTTCCTGACCTATGACCTTTAAACTATGTCCCTTACACCGTAGCACAGCCTCCCATGCAGTGGTACAGGTTAGATAGGGTAAAAGCTGGTGAAGAGGAGAACAGCTACATAACAAACCTGTTGTGCTATAGAAACTTTGGGGAAACACTCTGACCCGTGCTGTCCTAACGAAAAAAAGTCAAAATTATGCAAATGTCATAGGTCAAATGATTAAATATGCAAAAGGTCAAAGGTGACACAGAGGAAGATTACATTGCTCTTAACCACACAAGGAAAACAAACACAATATATCAATGAATCTAACAGTTTTATGCAAACACAACAAATTAATTGGTTAATGCATCAAGTCAGTGTTAATTAGATAGGAATTCATCAGATAAACTAGAGATCTAACCACATATATTTGTGACCTTGAATGACCTTCATTACAGCTTATTGACAACTCGAAGCTTTACAGACCTTTAATAGAGGTCATCTGAACCCTATAACTTTCAGTAGGTTGGGAAAACTTAAACCATTTATTGTGCATGTTTTGTGCCAGCAAAATAAATCTACCGTCCAGACAATGTCCCAGTACAGACGAATGACACAAGCATCCTAGAAATTCAGACATTTCATGTTAGGTTTTTTTTTTGAGGGGTTTTCAATATGGGGTAGGACAGATTCTGGAAGTCAAAATTTAAGACTTTTTCACGACACTTATTTCATAAAGTGCAAGAGCTGTGTGTGTACAAATCACAATAGTTTGAACACATCTGGTTATAATAATCTTCCATTCAGAGATATGTCTCTCAGTCAATTTGTTCAGTGTTCCAAACATTTAACAATCTCTTGAGTAAACTAAACTTCATAAGAAGAACATCAGAACACTAAAATAACAGATTTTTCTTCCATTTAGTTTTAATGACTTTTCAAGGCTAAAAGCAATATTCAAGAGACTCGTAAGACAGATTCAATGGTTTTAAATACTTGTGTGACTCCTGACAATAGATATTGCAGCCCAGCTCTCAAGGGTAAGCCTGCTAAGCTAGCAGTCACCGAAATTTACTAGGTAAAGAAGCTGCAGCACCAATTCCAAAGGTTGTGCAATCTATAGACATGGGAACTTAGGTGTATTAGTAAGGGCAGGCTTGAATTCTGAATACAATACCCGAATCATGGACAACATGCTAACACTTTATACATTCAGAGAATTTACATCGTAATGAAATAGTTTCAATACAAAACTATCTTTAAACTTTCCTTATCCATAAAAATCCTTAATTCATGTTGATTGATGGGGAAAAATGAACTTTGAAATAACTTTGAACTGATACAATTTTTCACAATCAAAATCCTTGAAGTTTGATCATAATATGAAAGAATATGATGCTGAAGACAAATAATGAGAAGCTCTTACCCTGCTTTTACAACAGATTATGAAACTCAATAATTTTCAAAGAGTTGATTTTTTTTCTGATCATGGATTGAATTACTGAACATTGGTTTTGTGTTTACAGGGTATAGCCATACAACAGAAGAAACCAAATTACATTTTCCTTTTTGCAGGAGAACTGAAATGTACTAAAAGAGAAAAGGGAGATAACTCATAAGGACTTGGGGGGGTGGTAAATTAGCAGTACATGATAAGCATTAAGGGTTAGTCTAGAATGGAAAGAAATATAAGATATCATAAGAGGTCATTTAAGATGTACAAAAACAAAGGGAGGTCATTTAGATGCACAAAGCAAAGGGGAATAATCCACGGAAAGGGAGGTAATCCAGCATAGTTAGGTAGCTATAGGTGTTGCAGCATAACACCTTAACACATTATAAAATACAAAGAGGCATAGCCAAGGAAGGTAACTGATAATCAACGTAGAAGTGTGATAGAAAAAGGAAAGCGGTAGAATGTTATCTTTTATATCACAATGGTGTCAAAACTGATTCACATGCAAGTTTGCTGTGTATTAAGATAACCAGTTTCAAGATATCATATTCAATAATCTTAATTAAGAACAAACTCCAACTAGTCTTCAGAAGCTAGCAAGACAGTAAAGGTAACATGCATCATCATGTCTTCAAAATTCAAGGGTTCTTACATACATAACCTCTGTATTATTGAATATGTATAGATATTACTGGGTCCTTCATATCACTACTTGTATAACTGAAGACTCATAGAAATCTGTCACTCCCTTGAGGAAACAGATTCTTAAATTAGAAAACATGAGGCTTGTCAAGTCTTTGTTAACATAATAACCTTTCCTTTAGGGACATGAAAACATGGTATCTCCTTGACAGCGTTGTAGAATATGACAAGGAAATCTTCTACCAGTAAAAGCCTGATTGATACACTAAATCACATGGCTATATAAACTTATTGATTTTTTTATTTTGGCTTCTAAGTTATCTTCAAACAAAAGTCAGTGGTCTTTAGCCAATCAAATGGATAATTTGTGACAAGTTTCATCATGAAATATATTCTGAATATATAAAAAACGTATCTTTGTCATCAAATCCTTGGATTTCAGAGGTAGCAGCCATGGTATGTAATGTCTTGTTCAAAATGCATGGACAGAGAACCCACAAACAAAATCACAATTCACAACATATTTCATCCACACAGACACCCAATAACCCGTTGTTATTGTCACAGATTTCCACCTAGAGCCAGGTGTGTTTTACCTGTAGTGTGTGATGTAGTCTGTGTGTTTTACCTGTAGTGTGTGATGTAGTCTGTGTGTTTTACCTGTAGTGTGTGATGTAGTCTGTGTAGGTGTGTTTTACCTGTAGTGTGTGATGTAGTCTGTGTGTTTTACCTGTAGTGTGTGATGTAGTCTGTGTAGGTGTGTTTTACCTGTAGTGTGTGATGTAGTCTGTGTAGGTGTGTTTTACCTGTAGTGTGTGATGTAGTCTGTGTAGGTGTGTTTTACCTGTAGTGTGTGATGAAGTCTGTGTAGGTGTGTTTTACCTGTAGTGTGTGATGTAGTCTGTGTGTTTTACCTGTAGTGTGTGATGTAGTCTGTGTGTTTTACCTGTAGTGTGTGATGTAGTCTGTGTAGGTGTGTTTTACCTGTAGTGTGTGATGTAGTCTGTGTAGGTGTTTTACCTGTAGTGTGTGATGTAGTCTGTGTAGGTGTGTTTTACCCGTAGTGTGTGATGTAGTCTGTGTATGTGTGTTTTACCTGTAGTGTGTGATGTAGTCTGTGTAGGTGTGTTTTACCTGTAGTGTGTGATGTAGTCTGTGTAGGTGTGTCTTACCTGTAATGTGTGATGTAGTCTGTGTGTTTTACCTGTAGTGTGTGATGTAGTCTGTGTAGGTGTGTTTTACCTGTAGTGTGTGATGTAGTCTGTGTAGGTGTGTTTTACCTGTAGTGTGTGATGTAGTCTGTGTAGGTGTGTTTTACCTGTAGTGTGTGATGTAGTCTGTGTAGGTGTGTTTTACCTGTAGTGTGTGATGTAGTCTGTGTAGGTGTGTTTTACCTGTAGTGTGTGATGTAGTCTGTGTAGGTGTGTTTTACCTGTAGTGTGTGATGTAGTCTGTGAAGGTGTGTTTTACCTGTAGTGTGTGATGTAGTCTGTGAAGGTGTGTTTTACCTGTAGTAACACGTGTGATGTAGTCTGTGTAGGTGTGTTTTACCTGTAGTGTGTGAGTCTGTGTAGGTGTGTTTTACCTGTAGTGTGTGATGTAGTCTGTGTGTTTTACCTGTAGTGTGTGATGTAGTCTGTGTGTTTTACCTGTAGTGTGTGATGTAGTCTGTGTAGGTGTGTTTTACCTGTAGTGTGTGATGTAGTCTGTGTAGGTGTGTTTTACCTGTAGTGCGTGATGTAGTCTGTGTAGGTGTGTTTTACCTGTAGTGTGTGATGTAGTCTGTGTAGGTGTGTTTTACCTGTAGTGTGTGATGTAGTCTGTGTAGGTGTGTTTTACCTGTAGTGTGTGATGTAGTCTGTGAAGGTGTGTTTTACCTGTAGTGTGTGATGTAGTCTGTGAAGGTGTGTTTTACCTGTAGTGTGTGATGTAGTCTGTGTAGGTGTGTTTTACCTGTAGTGTGTGATGAAGTCTGTGTAGGTGTGTTTTACCTGTAGTGTGTGATGTAGTCTGTGTAGGTGTGTTTTACCTGTAGTGTGTGATGTAGTCTGTGTGTTTTACCTGTAGTGTGTGATGTAGTCTGTGTAGGTGTGTTTTACCTGTAGTGTGTGATGTAGTCTGTGTGTTTTACCTGTAGTGTGTGATGTAGTCTGTGTAGGTGTGTTTTACCTGTAGTGTGTGATGTAGTCTGTGTGTTTTACCTGTAGTGTGTGATGTAGTCTGTGTAGGTGTGTCTTACCTGTAGTGTGTGATGTAGTCTGTGTGTTTTACCTGTAGTGTGTGATGTAGTCTGTGTAGGTGTGTTTTACCTGTAGTGTGTGATGTAGTCTGTGTAGGTGTGTTTTACCTGTAGTGTGTGATGTAGTCTGTGTGTTTTACCTGTAGTGTGTGATGTAGTCTGTGTGTTTTACCTGTAGTGTGTGATGTAGTCTGTGTAGGTGTGTTTTACCTGTAGTGTGTGATGTAGTCTGTGTGTTTTACCTGTAGTGTGTGATGTAGTCTGTGTAGGTGTGTTTTACCTGTAGTGTGTGATGTAGTCTGTGTGTTTTACCTGTAGTGTGTGATGTAGTCTGTGTGTTTTACCTGTAGTGTGTGATGTAGTCTGTGTAGGTGTGTTTTACCTGTAGTGTGTTATGTAGTCTGTGGAGGGCATGTTGTTGTTGTAGCTCTGCCTCACTGCCAGGGTCTCTTGTAGACACTTGTTTCTGTAACAATAAACACCAGGTATGTAGGAATAAAACAGATTAATAAATTAGCTCTAAAAATCTCTTTTTAGCTTTGATAAATCTTAAATCAGCTCCGGTGAAATCTCAAATTATCTTAATAATTTTAATTATCTGCAGGAAAATCTAACATTAGCTTCAACAAAATCTTCATTAAGCTCCAAAAAGTCTTAAATTACCAGGTAGCTCCAACAAAATCTGATATTAGCTGTAACAAAATACTCCAAGAAGTCTTAAGTTAATTCCAAGAAGTCTTAAGTTAATTCCCATTAAAACCAGTTATTGTAACTGCAATATAACATCGTTTTAACATGAATTCCTTTGTTTTTCCTCCAGTTCTTTCTTTCTTATCTATAATTATATGCAAACCTCTACTACTTAACTCACTTGTAGTTCCTGACACTCATGATGAAGCTGTTTCAGACTTGAGTGACTGTGACGAGTACTCACCTGTAGTTCCTGACACTCATGATGAAGCTGTTTCAGACTTGAGTGACTGTGACGAGTACTCACCTGTAGTTCCTGACACTCGTGATGAAGCTGTTTCAGACTTGAGTGACTGTGACGAGTACTCACCTGTAGTTCCTGACACTCGTGATGAAGCTGTTTCAGACTAGAGTGACTGTGACGAGTACTCACCTGTAGTTCCTGACACTCGTGATGAAGCTGTTTCAGACTTGAGTGACTGTGACGAGTACTCACCTGTAGTTTCTGACACTCGTGATGAAGCTGTTTCGGACTTGAGTGACTGACGAGTACTCACCTGTAGTTCCTGACACTCGTGATGAAGCTGTTTCAGACTAGAGTGACTGTTACGAGTACTCACCTGTAGTTCCTGACACTCGTGATGAAGCTGTTTCAGACTTGAGTGACTGTGACGAGTACTCACTTGTAGTTCCTGACACTCGTGATGAAGCTGTTTCAGACTAGAGTGATTGTGACGAGTACTCACCTGTAGTTCCTGACACTCGTGATGAAGCTGTTTAGGACTTGAGTGACTGTGACGAGTACTCACCTGTAGTTCCTGACACTCGTGATGAAGCTGTTTAGGACTTGAGTGACTGTGACGAGTACTCACCTGTAGTTCCTGACACTTGTGATGAAGCTGTTTCAGACTTGAGTGACTGTGACGAGTACTCACCTGTAGTTCCTGACACTCGTGATGAAGCTGTTTCAGACTAGAGTGACTGTGACGAGTACTCACTTGTAGTTCCTGACACTCGTGATGAAGCTGTTTCAGACTGTGACGAGTACTCACCTGTAGTTCCTGACACTCGTGATGAAGCTGTTTCAGACTTGAGTGACTGTGACGAGTACTCACCTGTAGTTCCTGACACTCGTGATGAAGCTGTTTCAGACTTGAGTGACTGTGACGAGTACTCACCTGTAGTTCCTGACACTCGTGATGAAGCTGTTTCAGACTTGAGTGACTGTGACGAGTACTCACCTGTAGTTCCTGACACTCGTGATGAAGCTGTTTCAGACTTGAGTGACTGTGACGAGTACTCACCTGTAGTTCCTGACACTCGTGATGAAGCTGTTTCAGACTTGAGTGACTGTGACGAGTATTTAGATTCTGATTATACAGTTTCTCCAGGTGAGATTGATGTTTGTGTAGGTTGGGAAGGCCATCACTGGCTCGGCGGACAGGAGAAAATCTCTCGTTAGGTAGGTGTAGTGAGTTCACATCACGGAAGGAGTTAGGCGCTGAAATTGTCGGAAAATGTTACAAAATCTGATTTGAGGCAAACGTCAGAATGAGACTGAAATGAATCTGTCACAACATATACATTGTATATGTGTCATAGATTCTATTTCTCCCACACGATATTGTCAAACATGTATAAAACTTTCTCAAATATTTGTCATTTTCTCAAATATTGTTCATTTTTCAATTTTATTAGATTTCCTTCTGTTTTTTTTTTTTTTTTTTGTTATAATCAAGACAATTGAATATTACATCATTTCAATTGTGACATCACTTGATGGAAAATATTACATAAAGGTACCAGTCAGACTGAATTATCAACAAAGTATTGTTTTGTTAAGAGTTTTGAACCTCTTGACTCTTGTCCAGAGATCACCTTATCACTTTCTTAGTTACAGTATTAAGATGTAATACACAATTAATAAGGAAAGGGGAGATAATTACATCATTAATGCTTAAGGTATAATGACACTATTAAACTACCATTTAGTTTCAGTTTGAAAAGTTCCACAAACACACCCTCTTTGCTTAGTCTTTTTACTGTTCTTGACTCATCTAACTTGTGATGGTAAGGATATATCCCAAATTATCTTTTGCCAATACTATTAAAATATGCACCGAGATCAATTTCTCATGTCACTGGTGTGTGTATCGGTTGCTTATGCACTTAAATTTGTCCCGATATATTTAGAAATATTCTTTACATAACTTTATCCACTGCAAGAAAGTGTACCTATATCAAGCTTTCATAATTGTACAGTAAACAATTGCTTTGCTTTTCCCCTTCACAGCGATACCAAGATTTAATTTCCTGTTTGGTTCCAGAAATGTATATTGTCATATCAATCCCATGGGGCATTTAGCTATAATAGGATGTCGGTCTGAGAGGTCAATGTCATCAGGATTTACCAATTCTGTTGGATTTGTGGTAAGCTGACTTGTATGAATTACATATTTTTTAAATGTCTTTGTGTCCTGAAGTGTTTTGTTGAGAATTGCTATAAAGAGTTCATACTGTATTACTGAGTTCATACTGTATTACTGAGTTCATACTGTATTACTGAGTTCATACTGTATCACTGAGTTCATACTGTATCACTGAGTTCATACTGTATAACTGAGTTCATACTGTATTACTGAGTTCATACTGTATCACTGAGTTCATACTGTATTACTGAGTTCATACTGTATTACTGAGTTCATACTGTATTACTGAGTTCATACTGTATCACTGAGTTCATACTGTATTACTGAGTTCATACTGTATAACTGAGTTCATACTGTATTACTGAGTTCATACTGTATAACTGAGTTCATACTGTATTACTGAGTTCATACTGTATTACTGAGTTCATACTGTATAACTGAGTTCATACTGTATCACTGAGTTCATACTGTATAACTGAGTTCATACTGTATCACTGAGTTCATACTGTATAACTGAGTTCATACTGTATCACTGAGTTCATACTGTATTACTGAGTTCATACTGTATCACTGAGTTCATACTGTATTACTGAGTTCATACTGTATCACTGAGTTCATACTGTATTACTGAGTTCATACTGTATCACTGAGTTCATACTGTATTACTGAGTTCATACTGTATCACTGAGTTCATACTGTATTACTGAGTTCATACTGTATTACTGAGTTCATACTGTATTACTGAGTTCATACTGTATTACTGAATAGTTGTTAACTGTGTTGTATATTTTGCATCCAGTTAGTACTTTTTCCACCTAAACTTTTTTCTAGAGACTGTGCGTAGAAAAACTGGGAAAATATGTCTTTGGAATTGGTAGAGATTCTTAATTTTTCTTCATTTTCAGAAAAACAGCATTTTTTTTTACTGTAAAACAGCGCAAAAAAAAAACAAACAAAACACCGATACAGTCATTATAAATGTTAATCATAATTAAGATCTGTTTAAAACTCAAACAAAAATTATATCAGGTATTTTTACATTGATACATACTTAATGACCCTCCTCCAGCGAAGTGGTTTCTCCGCACAGGTCTGATTGGCTGAAGTGACAATTTACGCTGCAACTCCTCGGGAATCTCGTGCATTGGGTTAGACATGGCCAATGTGTGTCGCTTGTTGCGCCCCCTACTGGCCAGATACCTACAAAGGCAGACAAATCAAAATAAGTCTGAGAATTCCTGTAACTTAATAACACTGATATCAATCTGAAAAGAAAATAACATCGCGAGACTTTTCTGTGAAGTTTGATCAATCTAAAGTCCACAGCGTGATGACACTGGTATACTATAGTTAATAACAGTGACCTTGTCTTATCCAATCTATTGCTATAGTCCACCTTTGTATCATGTTTAAATACAATCACTTTGAATATGAAGTAGCTGGACCGATATAACAGAACTGGTTCACGTTGTTTTTTATAGAAAGTAGATGTGATCTCCAACATGACCTCAGAATCCAAAAACATCATTTCATAAAGAAGGTAATTTTCCTTGCTATGATCAACAACAGACCCAGAGAGCTTGCATCCTTCCCTTTGATTTTTTTTTCAGCATTCTTATATATTGATCTCAATTGTAGCCACTTTTTAATGTATCTCTCAACATCAATATAGAAAATATAATTCCCTTTCACTAAATTCATTACATGATTCAAATATGGATTCATAGGAAATTCCCAATTGAGGAAATTCAGGAATTCGGCCCCATTCATTCAGGAGACCAGGTTAACTGTTATGGCTCATGGCTTGTTGTGAAGGTTATCTGGGGCTGAAAATACTCCCCATTCTCAATTGGATTTATTTCTTATCAAAGCCGAATGTCCAGAATTTGAAAATTATCCCAGAAAAATTCCTTTTGCAAATCATCAATTTTTCTTTCATAAATGGAAAAATGGGACAAAAATATCCTATTCCAAACCAGTGAAAAAACCCACGTGACTGGGGTTGAGTAAAAGCAAATAACCTGTAACTTTTGTCCTGTGAAAAATTCGCTGTTTGGTGTCGAAACTGGAATACCTGATTCTAAACATGTCTCCACCATAAAAAGAGAAGGAAAAAAAACTACATAACATAACTCTCTTTCACGATCGTGCACCAGTCTAGTATAAGTCACACAATATAACAGTAAAAATAGCAAAACTTACACAATGTTAAAACAAACCCTATTATACGATATCTAAACAACGCTCAGTCTGTTAACGTATGATTAAACATTTCATACCTCTGTACTGCCTCGGTATCGGGCTCCTGATCTGATCCGCCATCTTCATTCTCCTCCACCGTCACCGAACCCTGAATGGACGTCAAAGGCATTCCCACTGGGGACAAGGGCGACTGCAAAACCAGCAAGCATTCACTTTTGTAAGATCAAAACTTTGTTGAATATGTCTTGTTTTTCCTTATCTGATTCCTCAAACGACCAGAATTAAATACGTAAATAACTAAGGCAATACACTTTGTATTAACAAGAATTATAATTATATATCTTGTCTGTCCAGCTTTATTAGTATAATAATTTTTAAGTAAAAGTGAAAATATGATAAATTATAAGTCAAAACCTTCCCTATTCTCTCCCCCCCACCCCAATAAAGAAGCCTACTGAGTATCATGGCAGAAGTACATGTTCTCTACCGGCCCACATAACAATAGTGACCTCAATATCGACCAACAACCCTGAAACTTTTAACTTGTTTAAGATATTTTTATTTGTACTTTGAAAGAATGTGAAGTTCAATGAGAATCTCTCAAGGATTGAAGTGTTTAGAGCACTTACATTGATTCTCTAAAAATAGTAACTTTGACCTTGACCCAACAACCCTGAATCTCGAATTTGTCAAAAATGATCTAATGCTTTACAGAAGTGAGAAGTTTCATAAGACCCCCTCTGTAATGAAACCACTAGAGTGCTGACAATGATTTTCTAAAAATAGAAATATTGACCTTGACCCAGCAACCAAGCAACCCAACTCAAACATGTTTAAGATATTTTGATGTTTAATAAGGGATACAAGTTTGAGGTCTTGTGTCTGATGAGAATCCTTCAAGGAATGAAGCTGCTGACTGCTGATAAAGACTGCTGACAAACTTTTACAGATGCAGTGACTGACTGAGAGGAAAACTTTAATTCCCTCATTTTCACAAAAGCTTTATATGTATCACATACCCCAGCTAGACACTCCTGACTTCCTGGACTGCCTGGTAGACTGCCTCCATACATTTGACGTGCAAACAACTGGATGTTGGCCCCACCATCAGATGCCCGTCTGCTCATGTTACCAAGACAACCACCAACATCTGTAAAACAAGAGTTACCCATTTATAACAGTACAGAATGTTGTTTTTCAAGATAGCAGCCATATTGAAGTTAGGACTGACCCGCAAAAATAACAACACTTGGTCAGGTCAATTTCAAGATCCTTTAAGGCAAGTTTCATCTTAAACTCATAGGTGAGACTTTCAAATATGTTTAAAACAGATCATGTTCAGGTGAAACCATGTTACAAAATGGCAGCATGGTGGCCATAATGAACTTTGACGAGGTTGAAAAATAACAACACTTTGTGGGACTGTCTCAGGATCCTTTCAAGTGAATTTCAGCTCAATCGCACTGATGGAACTTGAGAAGTTTAAAATGAGTGTTGTCAGGGAAACTGCGATAATACAATCACATTACAATATAGCCATTATGGCAGCCATATTAAATTTTTGACAAGGCTGAAAAAATCGCAAAAAAAAAAAATGACGGACGAAATTTGATGGCTGTAGATCATACTGATCCTTCTGGTTAGATGAAATAAAAACAACAGAAGATTTTACTTTTTTCTCATTTTCTCAGCAAGATATCAATTTTTCTTCATCCCATCCAAATTCCCTAATTTATAAAGTACTGTATGCCACTAGTAACAAATTCAGTGACCTATGTATCATCACTTCACGGGCTGTGTTTTTTTGTACTGTCGCACATGTTAACTAGAAAATGACTGTTAATTATCAATCTTTTGACCTATATCACTTCACAGGCTGTGTTTTTGTACTGTCGCACATGTTAACTAGAAAATGTCTGTTAATTATCAATCTTTTGACCTATATATTATCACTTCAAGGGCTGTTTTTTTACTGTTGTATGTGTAAACTCAAAAGTATTAACATTTTCAAGTTTCTTTGATAATGAGTGACTGTGACCTTTGATTGCAGAAACACAAATTCATCCGATGTAATGTCATTGTTGATCTCTATGAAATTTCTGAGGAAAACCTCTACAAAGAGTTAATTTCCGGAGAGTACAAACTGACTTGGGACGAAACAGGACAGGCATGGGTTACACTATGAATACCAGGAGGTTATACTCAGTACTTAGAATGTGTAAATGTCAGAGATGATAAATATTTTAAAGTGACATCACGGTAAAACGATTTTTTTCTTACCCTTTTTTTTTTATTTTTACATACATTTAACCTGATGATTTTAGGAAAGATAGGTGGTTTTTGCTGAAATATGCACATAAAGACGTTTATCAATAATTATAGAAATAGAATCCTTTACTCTTGATCAACAGTCTGGATATGTAAATTTTGTGTTATAGACGATTACGCGGATGCCCAACACACCTTCGCCTGTAAACAAAAATGGCTTCCTGCCTGAATTCGTTGGAGATTATCGTATTTTGTAGTTCTGAATTAATTTAGAGTTTTCAAATATCATTTTCCAAACCCATCAAGTGCTGAAATACAGGATTTTACAGACTGTATCACTACTGTCGCTGTTATTCTGCCATCCTGTGTTCATGTTTACAAAATAAACTGCCTCATTTTCAAAACTATCAAGTGACATTATCAGTGCCGAATTTAAGAGGGTTTCCCGAACCAAAGAGGTCGTCAAGCTGGTCATTGGAAATTGACTGTGAATTGGGACAGCATAGAAATGTAACTGAAGTATATAAAACATGTACAATAAATAACAAGAGGCACAAACACCTGTCATCTGAATACAAACATTTTCAGCAGGGAAAAGGCTTATATTTTCTACTTTGAATAAAATCTTACTATGAAACTGTTTTCCATGATGCAGATGGTAGGAAAACCATGATTGTGCAATCATGTAACAAAATGGCCTCCCAAAGTTTTGACAAGGTCAAAAAATAACAACACTTTGTTGGCTACATTTCCTTAACATTCCCACTAATTTTTAGCTCAATGGCACTGGTGGAACTGGAGAAGAAGTTTAAAATATATTTTTCAAGATGGTAGTATCCAAGGTTTTCCATAAGAGCCGGTTGCCGGCCAATTTGACCGGCTACTTTGATCATTTGGCTGCCTACACCAATCCAGTTCCGTAATAATGTTCCGTACACGACTACACGAACACGGCAGGCCAGCCTCCTACTTTCACTACACAGCCTACTACTAACAAAATTATGGAAAATCCTGAGTATCTTGGATTTCAGACAGTTTGAGCTCAATCCCACTAATGCCACTTTACAGGAAGTTTAAAATGTCAAAAGTTTTCGCACAGCCAACGGCACATGGCAGATGGACAAACAGACATGATTGTAGAACACACGATCAGACTGTAATCCCATTAAAGGGATATTCCACCAAGGTTGCAAAAATTCTGACTGTTCTGTATCTTTGAGAACTCAATAAAATGACTTTTAAAACTATTGATAGCATCAAAATATCTTTTCTGTGGTCAATTTGGATTCGCGAAATTCATAAAATTTGGACTGAAGGATGACTAGATCATAGATTTTATGCAGAGTACTGGGTAAATATACAAGTGTGTATGATATTCACTGAAATTTCTGAGTTGCATTTTTATTTTTTCATTTATTTTCTGTTGAATTTATGATTTACACAAATATTTCATTCTGTTCAGCTAATAACAACACAAACCTGTTATGACACAATTAGGGCTGCACAAAGATTTATATATCAATTGAGCTAGATCTATATAGAATTTCTGCTAATTAAATATCTTTATTTTTATCTAAATGAGGTTTACAATATCCATTAGTAGCTGGTTTTGTATAGTTTTCTACAAAAGCATCCTACAAAATCCGAACTTATGCCCTTTAATAGTTTATTGATACTTTCTATTGTGGTCTGCAATAATGGACAGTGAAAGAAGGCGGATGGATAGACAGACATGAAAAAGGACGGACACATAGTGTATAACATGAAATGTTTGTTATAACTTTCATGTCTGGTTTAAATCCAAGAGATCATTTCACTGGTGAAAACATTAAACACACAATCATAACACTGATCCTTCCATCTGAAGTTTTTTTCGTTGTGAGTGATTTTCATGGTTTGTCAATAACTAAATTAATCTAAACAGCTAATTTATAACCTGAAGGATATTTTTCTGAAAGATAGAAATAACCAGTTTATTTTCAAATTCTAAAGATTGTTATTTTTTCGTTGTCTCTGGAAATTGGTCCTGGACTGGTTTTCTAGCCTTAAGCTCTACGGATTGAGCTGAAGATAGATTCGCCCTTACTGAACAAATGGGATGAAGCTGGTATATCACCCCTTACCTGGGCCCCATAATATGGGTGGCTGTAGTAAATGCTGTTCACCGCTTGGATAGCTAGGGACCTCTGTGTTCTGTACCTGGGGCAATGTGTGGGGGAGATTCATATGAGGCAAGAGACTCAGAGGCAGAAGATAGTTTGGCTGAGGGAGGGCAATGATTGGCTGATTGTTGGCAAGTTTGACGCGCACGTCTTCTGGCACCTCGTGACGACTGTCCCCAACGCCTACCGTATGCCGTCGCATTGCTAGGTAACGAGCTAAGGCTTCAGGGCATGGTTCCTCACTGTCTGAATCTGAATGCTGACTGCCTTCGTCAGGCTGTAAATAAAAAAGGGGAGATAATAAAAAAAACTCAAGTTATTAGAATCTGTTTAACACAAAAGATATCAAATTCTAAACACATGTTACTTGTCATTTCTATCACAAGATCACAGTAAAAATGTTCATCACAATAACGCATCCCATTAATATTGAATCTCCTTATAAGTATAACACCCTTCTACAAGTGAAAATCACACCAATAGCATACTTCCGAACAAATTTATCATTGGATACAGTACTGCCAAATCGTGAATTAAACTATATCATACAGCTGTCCTTCTAGGACTGTTCAGTATTGCTAAGGGTTTAAACGTTAATCCCAGGAAGGATCTGATCAAATAGTATATCTCATAATAGCAAACAGATAGTGATAAATAATTTTGTTTCATCTTTTAATTTTATGATAAGAATGCTATTTTATCTCTTAATTTGATTATAAAGAATTTTGTTTCATCTCTTAATTCAATGATAAGAATGCTATTTTATCTCTTAATTTGATTATAAAGAATTTTGTTTCATCTCTTAATTCAATGATAAGAATGCTATTTTATCTCTTAATTTGATTATAAAGAATTTTGTTTCATCTCTTAATTCAATGATAAGAATGCTATTTTATCTCTTAATTTGATTATAAAGAATTTTGTTTCATCTCTTAATTCAATGATAAGAATGCTATTTTATCTCTTAATTTGATTATAAAGAATTTTGTTTCATCTCTTAATTCAATGATAAGAATGCTATTTTATCTCTTAATTTGATTATAAAGAATTTTGTTTCATCTCTTAATTCAATGATAAGAATGCTATTTTATCTCTTAATTTGATTATAAAGAATTTTGTTTCATCTCTTAATTCAATGATAAGAATGCTATTTTATCTCTTAATTTGATTATAAAGAATTTTGTTTCATCTCTTAATTCAATGATAAGAATGCTATTTTATCTCTTAATTTGATTATAAAGAATTTTGTTTCATCTCTTAATTCAATGATAAGAATGCTATTTTATCTCTTAATTTGATTATAAAGAATTTTGTTTCATCTCTTAATTCAATGATAAGAATGCTATTTTATCTCTTAATTTGATTATAAAGAATTTTGTTTCATCTCTTAATTCAATGATAAGAATGCTATTTTATCTCTTAATTTGATTATAAAGAATTTTGTTTCATCTCTTGACTTAATGATTAAGAATTTTTTTCATGTCTTAATTTGGTGATAAATTATTTTGTTTTATCTCTCAATTGGGTGATAAAGAATTTGAATTTATCTCTTAATTTGGTGATAAAGAATTAAATTTTATCTCTCAAATAAGAAGAAATCTTGTTTCATCTCTCAATTTGATGATAGAGAATTTTTTGTTTTATCTCTAAATTGGGTATTGGGGATTTTTGAATTCATCTCTCAATTTGATGATAGAGAATTTTTTGTTTTATCTCTAAATTGGGTATTAGGGATTTTTGAATTCATCTCTCAATTTGATGATAGAGAATTTTTTGTTTTATTTCTAAATTGGGTATTAGGGATTTTTGAATTCATCTCTCAATTTGATGATAGAGAATTTTTTGTTTTATCTCTAAATTGGGTATTAGGGATTTTTGAATTTATCTCTCAATTTGATGCTAGAGAATTTTTTGTTTTATCTCTAAATTGGGTATTAGGGATTTTTGAATTTATCTCTCAATTTGGTGAGAGAGAATTTGAATTTATCTCTCAATTTGGTGATAAAGAAGTTTTTGATTTATTTCTCAATTTGGTGATAAAGAATTTTGTTTTATATCTTAATTCACATGTATTCTGGAGATTCATCATCTCCAAAACCCTGTTACAAAGGAATGATTATCTCAGAAATTATCTCTTTCTATTTGATTTAAAAATATTACCAAATATTACGATACAATCCAGTTGAAATAGTAATTACTGTGGTACTTTTATCCTTACTGAAGTTTAAATATTCCAAATGAAGGATATGAAATCAGTGTATAATGTGAACAAAAACCTGGGTGGTTTACAAAACAACGATTTGTAAATTAATTCACATGTGTTAATTCAAATAGTACTTTTGTTGAAACTAACAAGTCACATTTAAGTTGTCAATTTATCATTTTTTGCTTTCTTTTCTCTTTTTTTGAGATTTAAATCATTATAAAAATGAAAGACCTACTTTTACTACAAACGAAAGTAAACATTTAAGTTATTATTGTTTTTGTTTTTTTTTTCCCCAGTCTTCAGGATATTGATAGATTTATCAAAAACAAAAAATAAAAGTTCAATGTTAGTAAAACAAACCTCTGTTAATTGGTTATTTTCATTAAAAAACTGTACTTGTGGTATAGCACCCATGGTTTTCGTGGCAGCAGGAATCTTCGGCTCCGTTTCCTTGGATACCTCTACTTCTACTGGTATTTCTACTCTTTCCACTGAAAAAAAAAAAATCTTTTATTTATTTTCCTTCATGTTAATAATAGTATTTCCATTTCAATTTGATGAAGGTTCATTTGTCAGCTATTGAGAATATCCCCCTATTTTATTTGATTTTTATTTTATCTGTTCATCGTTTTGCAATATACAAATCTATGGATTAAGTCACCACAAATTCATAAAAAGTCAAACCAAGTCGAAAAATGATTCTAAAAAATTCTGAAAAAGAATATTTCATATTAATCCAATTTTATCAATGAATTTTTAGCAAGTGAACTGCATAAATGTCAGATTTAATACAAAGAATATTAATAATAAGCCATATTCTTTGATTGAGAGTTTAAAAACTTTCATATTAAGTCAACAAATTTCCGGTTCCTTACCAACACCAGTAGTAATACTAGATCTGCGTTCTGTCCGTACGGCCAGGGGCAGATTTGGAGGACCTAAGGTCGGTAGTTTGCTCATCATTGTCTTTGGATGTTTCTTTAGTTTATCTAACAGCAGGTGATATATGGCACTATGGAAATCGTAGCATTGTTCCTTTACCGACTGAAATGAAAACATGGTGGCTATTTTAAGCAATTCATACTTTTCTATACAGACCTACATATATATTGTATCCTAACAAAACTGTCTTAAAAAAGTCTATAAATAGATATATCATACCCTAACGATTTCTAGAAAAATCTATAAATAGATACCGTACCCTAACCACTGTCTATATAGATCTATAAATAGATACCCTACCCTAACCACTCTGTCTATATAGATCTATAAATATATACTGTACTGTAACCACTTTGTCTATATAGATCTATAAATAAATACTGTGTCCTAACCATTCAGTCTATATAGATCTATAAATAGATACCGTACCCTAACCACTCGGTCGATATCTATTTCTAGGTACTCCATATGAGACATGATCTGTTCGTTTAAGTTCTCCAGGTCGGGATCGACATCTGTTGGTCGGTTGTACTCATTTATTAATTCCTCAAAATCTGGATCATCCTCTCCACCCTTCATCCACCGGTGTTGTATTATCTGTTTCATCGTGATACGTTTATTGGCGTCTACTGTAAGCATCAGTTTTATTAAATTTTCACATTCTGGAAAACAAGAAACCAAAATGATTTAACAAGATGTGAGGATTTTCTATCAGTATGCAAAATTACACCTTCATATCATTAGATGATCATTACCCTCCAATAAGCTAAGGTAATACAACTCTGAAGAGGCTGGACTTATTGCTGGACAAAACGTTTTTTCATCAGGCATTAGTCACTGACTCGAGCAGAGACTGGACTTATTGCTGGACAAAACGTTTTTCCATCAGGCATTAGTCACTGACTCGAGCAGAGACTGGACTTATTGCTGGACAAAACGTTTTTTCATCAGGCATTAGTCACTGACTCGAGCAGAGACTGGACTTATTGCTGGACAAAACGTTTTTTCATCAGGCATTAGTCACTGACTCGAGCAGAGACTGGACTTATTGCTGGACAAAACGTTTTTTCATCAGGCATTAGTCACTGACTCGAGCAGAGACTGGACTTATTGCTGGACAAAACGTTTTTTCATCAGGCATTAGTCACTGACTCGAGCAGAGACTGGACTTATTGCTGGACAAAACGTTTTTTCATCAGGCATTAGTCACTGACTCGAGCAGAGACTGGACCTGTTGCAGGACAATAAGGGTGAGTTTTTCCATCAGGCATTAGTCACTGACTCGAGCAGAGACTGGACTTATTGCTGGACAAAACGTTTTTTCATCAGGCATTAGTCACTGACTCGAGCAGAGACTGGACTTATTGCTGGACAAAACGTTTTTTCATCAGGCATTAGTCACTGACTCGAGCAGAGACTGGACTTATTGCTGGACAAAACGTTTTTCCATCAGGCATTAGTCACTGACTCGAGCAGAGACTGGACTTATTGCTGGACAAAACGTTTTTCCATCAGGCATTAGTCACTGACTCGAGCAGAGACTGGACTTATTGCTGGACAAAACGTTTTTTCATCAGGCATTAGTCACTGACTCGAGCAGAGACTGGACTTATTGCTGGACAAAACGTTTTTCCATCAGGCATTAGTCACTGACTCGAGCAGAGACTGGACTTATTGCTGGACAAAACGTTTTTCCATCAGGCATTGGTAACTGACTCGAGCAGAGACTGGACCTGTTGCTGGACAAAACGTTTTTCCATCAGGCATTAGTCACTGACTCGAGCAGAGACTGGACCTGTTGCTGGACAAAACGTTTTTTCATCAGGCATTGGTAACTGACTCGAGCAGAGACTGGACCTGTTGCTGGACAAAACGTTTTTCCATCAGGCATTAGTCACTGACTCGAGCAGAGACTGGACCTGTTGCTGGACAAAACGTTTTTTCATCAGGCATTGGTAACTGACTCGAGCAGAGACTGGACCTGTTGCTGGACAAAACGTTTTTCCATCAGGCATTGGTAACTGACTCGAGCAGAGACTGGACCTGTTGCTGGACAAAACGTTTTTCCATCAGGCATTGGTAACTGACTCGAGCAGAGACTGGACCTGTTGCTGGACAAAACGTTTTTCCATCAGGCATTGGTAACTGACTCGAGCAGAGACTGGACCTGTTGCTGGACAAAACGTTTTTCCATCAGGCATTGGTAACTGACTCGAGCAGAGACTGGACCTGTTACAGGACAATAATGGTGCATGTTTTTTCATCAGGCATTAGTCACTGACTCGAGCAGAGACTGGACCTGTTGCTGGACAAAACGTTTTTCCATCAGGCATTGGTAACTGACTCGAGCAGAGACTGGACCTGTTACAGGACAATAATGGTGCATGTTTTTTCATCAGGCATTAGTCACTGACTCGAGCAGAGACTGGACCTGTTGCTGGACAAAACGTTTTTCCATCAGGCATTGGTAACTGACTCGAGCAGAGACTGGACCTGTTACAGGACAATAATGGTGCATGTTTTTTCATCAGGCATTAGTCACTGACTCGAGCAGAGACTGGACCTGTTGCTGGACAAAACGTTTTTCCATCAGGCATTGGTAACTGACTCGAGCAGAGACTGGACCTGTTACAGGACAATAATGGTGCATGTTTTTTCATCAGGCATTAGTCACTGACTGCATGTGCAGAGACTGGACAGGACAATAACGTTTTTTCATCAGGCATTAGTCACTGACTCGAGCAGAGACTGGACCTGTTGCAGAACAATAAGGGTGAGTTTTTCCATCAGGCATTAGTCACTGACTCGAGCAGAGACTGGACCTGTTGCAGGACAATAAGGGTGAGTTTTTCCATCAGGCATTAGTCACTGACTCGAGCAGAGACTGGACCTGTTGCAGGACAATAAGGGTGAGTTTTTCCATCAGGCATTAGTCACTGACTCGAGCAGAGACTGGACCTGTTGCAGGACAATAAGGGTGAGTTTTTCCATCAGGCATTGGTAACTGACTCGAGCAGAGACTGGACCTGTTGCAGGACAATAAGGGTGAGTTTTTCCATCAGGCATTGGTAACTGACTCGAGCAGAGACTGGACCTGTTACAGGACAATTATGGTGCATGTTTTTCCATCAGGCATTGATAACTGACTCGAGCAGAGACTGGACCTGTTACAGGACAATAATGGTGCATGTTTTTCCATCAGGCATTGGTAACTGACTCGAGCAGAGACTGGACCTGTTACAGGACAATAATGGTGCATGTTTTTCCATCAGGCATTGGTAACTGACTCGAGCAGAGACTGGACCTGTTACAGGACAATTATGGTGCATGTTTTTCCATCAGGCATTGGTAACTGACTCGAGCAGAGACTGGACCTGTTACAGGACAATTATGGTGCATGTTTTTCCATCAGGCATTGATAACTGACTCGAGCAGACAATCATGGTGAGTTTTTCATTGACCAAGGATAACCACCTGTACATTTGACTCAAGTTACAGCTAGACTCGTTAAAATACAACGTGTAGCCAATCACTCTGACTGTGTGTGATGACAACATGGTTTTGTTACACTACACAAAACGTGGTTCTACAATCCTCCATTACCAGCAGTGGTGTCAACTAGGCTGTTTGGCCATGGAAACATGGAGATACCTGTTGGGTGAATTCACACCTTTGTAAACTTGTGAAACCACGAATATAGCAGTGGATAGACACAAACAGAACTAGAAATATTCAAGTTAGATTTCTAAACATTGGTTCTTTAAAGAGGTCACAGGTAAAATCATTGATGAAGCACGTTTACTGTTCTACCAAAATGAAATTTTTTTCTGCGGTAGATAAATCTAATAATTATTTTAAAACTATAAACAAACAAACATGTTCTGAACCTGTTATCTCATAATACACCCAAATTATATTTCTGCTTCAATTTCAACATCTAACATTGAGTTGAAACTTCTCACTGATAAAACTGTTCAATAGAAGGCCTGATAATCAGGAAAGGAATAATTCCAACAAACAAGAAATTAACAATTCAACAATGCATGCTTACATTTTTGTCTTCTGGTGAGTACCTTCAGTACTACATCAATTTTGAATAAAACATTTAAGTGGTTGGTCACATGTTACAGTAATTATATAACAAGAGATCCCAAAACGATCTTGGTGCCCACCATTGTTTGATTTTCATTTGCTTTTTGAAAATGAGATCTTTTCCCTTCTTTTCTCCTCTCTGTTTTTGCTCTTTATGATAAGACATTTGAACACTTCTTTGCAGAAATTGCGATGATAGTCTTTACCTGCCAAATCCAAAATGACTGCCTTGAAGCCATTTTGTTTCTTCTGATCAGTCCCAAAATCAAATGGACACAAGGAAAGACCAAAGGGAACATGTGTATGAATTTTAAAAGATATCCATTCAATACTTCTGAAGAAAAAGGATAACAATCTTTACTAGGTGAAATCTAAGATGGCCACCTTTCTGCCATTTTGTTTTTCTGATGAGTCTTAAAATTTGATGGGCACAACTAGAGATGAACCTATGTATACAATTTAAGAGAGGCACAACTAGAAACCAAGGGGAACCTACATATGCAATTTGAGAAAGATCTATCAAGTACTTTTCAAGAAATAGTGGTAACAAGAATTATTTTATTTGGATAGACGACGTAAAAATGAAATAAAGAAAACAGCACTTTTCCCTTACAGGGCCAACACTGACTATGAGATTGTTAATGCAATGACATATACCTTAATTACAAACAACGAATTGTTATCAATAATGATATGCCATTATGACAAAGATCGCAGAGTTTGATCTACATCTAAGTCTGCGTAGCAATCAATATATTATTGATACGAGACATAGCCCAGCCCCAATCCAATGATAACTTGATATGAGGCACTGACACAGCTGTTGTTGCAGTCATCAAAGACAGTGTTCTGTTTTTTTTTCAATTTTCAAAAATTGTCATGTGACCCCAAACTTGAAAGTAAATCTGCGCTGGTGTGAAATTCAGGATCGGGCAAAGTTGTATTGAGAAATTTGTATCATCAAAGAAAACAGAGAAGGTTATTCAGGGGAGACAATCCAGCTCAATAGGAGAGTTAATAACAAGGCAATAATTCAACTCAATGCAAAAGAAAGTTTTACTCCGGGTGATAATAAGCTCCATGGGAAAGAAAATTCATCTGTCATAATTTATATAAGCATATTTACCTGTTGTCATATAAAACGGAACTCCAAATTTTCCCCTTAGCACCCGTCCGCGTAAACTCTGTAACGTGTTGCCATCAAAAGGCAGCGCCCCACACACTAAAACATATAGCACCACTCCAAGACTCTGAAAATAAAAATGAAAAAATGTTGATCCAGCTGTAAAAACACACATAATAAAATATACAACTCAAGTCCTGCAAAAGTTCCAAAGTGAAATTTTAATATTGTAAACCACTTATATGTCGTGTGGTATTTATTTTCACGTTGATTAGTGAGGAGAGTAAATTGTGAATTAAAATCCCTCGCACTGGATGGCATCAATGTTGAGGCCATCAATGTTAATCCTGTTATCTTGTCTTGAAGCCTTGAAGAGTCCCTGTCTCAAATAGCTCATCATTCATGAATTTAAAGTCGTTTCTAAATCAGCGTTAACAAAATCACATATTCATAAATATGTTTGTAGAGATAAGTTCACAAAATAAAGTACTCGTGACATCAGTTCACAAAATAAAGTACTTCTTAAATCAGTTCACAAAATGATGTACTCATGACATCAGTTCACAAAATGATGTACTCGTGACATCAGTTCACAAAATGATGTACTCATGACATCAGTTCACAAAATAAAGTACTCGTGACATCAGTTCACAAAATAAAGTACTCGTGACATCAGTTCACAAAATGATGTACTCGTGACATCAGTTCACAAAATGATGTACTCATGACATCAGTTCACAAAATAAAGTACTCGTGACATCAGTTCACAAAATAAAGTACTTCTTAAATCAGTTCACAAAATGATGTACTCGTGACATCAGTTCACAAAATGATGTACTCGTGACATCAGTTCACAAAATGATGTACTCGTGACATCAGTTCACAAAATGATGTACTCGTGACATCAGTTCACAAAATGATGTACTCATGACATCAGTTCACAAAATGATGTACTCGTGACATCAGTTCACAAAATGATGTACTCGTGACATCAGTTCACAAAATAAAGTACTCGTGACATCAGTTCACAAAATAAAGAACTCGTGACATCAGTTCACAAAATAAAGTACTCATGACATCAGTTCACAAAATAAAGTACTCGTGACATCAGTTCACAAAATAAAGTACTCATGACATCAGTTCACAAAATAAAGAACTCGTGACATCAGTTCACAAAATAAAGTACTCATGACATCAGTTCACAAAATAAAGTACTCGTGACATCAGTTCACAAAATAAAGTACTCATGACATCAGTTCACAAAATAAAGTACTCATGACATCAGTTCACAAAATAAAGTACTCGTGACATCAGTTCACAAAATAAAGAACTCGTGACATCAGTTCACAAAATAAAGTACTTCTTAAATCAGTTCACAAAATAAAGTACTCATGACATCAGTTCACAAAATAAAGAACTCGTGACATCAGTTCACAAAATAAAGAACTCGTGACATCAGTTCACAAAATAAAGTACTCATGACATCAGTTCACAAAATAAAGTACTCGTGACATCAGTTCACAAAATAAAGTACTTCTTAAATCAGTTCACATAAAGTACTCATGACATCAGTTCACAAAATGATGTACTCGTGACATCAGTTCACAAAATAAAGTACTCGTGACATCAGTTCACAAAATGATGTACTCGTGACATCAGTTCACAAAATAAAGTACTCGTGACATCAGTTCACAAAATAAAGAACTTCTTAAATCAGTTCACAAAATAAAGTACTCATGACATCAGTTCACAAAATGATGTACTCGTGACATCAGTTCACAAAATAAAGTACTCGTGACATCAGTTCACAAAATGATGTACTCGTGACATCAGTTCACAAAATAAAGTACTCGTGACATCAGTTCACAAAATAAAGTACTTCTTAAATCAGTTCACAAAATAAAGTACTCGTGACATCAGTTCACAAAATAAAGTACTCATGACATCAGTTCACAAAATAAAGTACTTCTTAAATCAGTTCACAAAATAAAGAACTCGTGACATCAGTTCACAAAATAAAGTACTCATGACATCAGTTCACAAAATAAAGAACTCGTGACATCAGTTCACAAAATAAAGTACTCATGACATCAGTTCACAAAATAAAGTACTTCTTAAATCAGTTCACAAAATAAAGTACTCATGACATCAGTTCACAAAATAAAGAACTCGTGACATCAGTTCACAAAATAAAGTACTCATGACATCAGTTCACAAAATAAAGTACTCATGACATCAGTTCACAAAATAAAGAACTCGTGACATCAGTTCACAAAATGATGTACTCATGACATCAGTTCACAAAATAAAGTACTCGTGACATCAGTTCACAAAATAAAGTACTTCTTAAATCAGTTCACAAAATAAAGTACTCGTGACATCAGTTCACAAAATGATGTACTCGTGACATCAGTTCACAAAATGATGTACTCATGACATCAGTTCACAAAATAAAGTACTCGTGACATCAGTTCACAAAATAAAGTACTTCTTAAATCAGTTCACAAAATAAAGAACTCGTGACATCAGTTCACAAAATGATGTACTCGTGACATCAGTTCACAAAATAAAGTACTCGTGACATCAGTTCACAAAATAAAGAACTCATGACATCAGTTCACAAAATAAAGTACTTCTTAAATCAGTTCACAAAATAAAGAACTCGTGACATCAGTTCACAAAATAAAGTACTCGTGACATCAGTTCACAAAATGATGTACTCGTGACATCAGTTCACAAATTAAAGTACTCGTGACATCAGTTCACAAAATGATGTACTCGTGACATCAGTTCACAAAATGATGTACTCATGACATCAGTTCACAAAATAAAGTACTCGTGACATCAGTTCACAAAATGATGTACTCGTGACATCAGTTCACAAAATGATGTACTCATGACATCAGTTCACAAAATAAAGTACTCGTGACATCAGTTCACAAAATGATGTACTCGTGACATCAGTTCACAAATTAAAGTACTCGTGACATCAGTTCACAAAATGATGTACTCGTGACATCAGTTCACAAAATGATGTACTCATGACATCAGTTCACAAAATAAAGTACTCATGACATCAGTTCACAAAATGATGTACTCGTGACATCAGTTCACAAAATGATGTACTCATGACATCAGTTCACAAAATGATGTACTCGTGACATCAGTTCACAAAATGATGTACTCATGACATCAGTTCACAAAATAAAGAACTCGTGACATCAGTTCACAAAATGATGTACTCGTGACATCAGTTCACAAAATAAAGAACTCGTGACATCAGTTCACAAAATAAAGAACTCGTGACATCAGTTCACAAAATGATGTACTCGTGACATCAGTTCACAAAATAAAGAACTCGTGACATCAGTTCACAAAATAAAGTACTCGTGACATCAGTTCACAAAATGATGTACTCGTGACATCAGTTCACAAAATAAAGAACTCGTGACATCAGTTCACAAAATAAAGAACTCGTGACATCAGTTCACAAAATAAAGAACTCGTGACATCAGTTCACGAATTTAAGTGCTCGTGAAATCAAAGTGATTTACAGTTTATCATATAGGTTCATTATCTAACAAACCATGAAAAGTAATAAAAGATAAAAAAAGTTGTCTAAACACTGAAGAAAGATCTTATAGAGCTATATTGCTATCTTACGTCAAAGATGAGCATGTTTATGTATGAAAGGATATTAACTGGAAAACAAAATTTCCTTCCCTTTTACCCTTTGAATTGTAAAACAAAATGCAACTCAATTATTTTAAAATGAATTTTTTTCCACTAGAAATCATTAAGATTTTCCCCACTGAATTCAGTAGACATAGAAACACTTACCCATATATCAACTTTCGGAGCATCATATTCTTTGCCTTCAAATAGTTCTGGAGCCGCATATGGAGGACTTCCGCACCAGGTTTTTAAACATGACCCGGGTTTGAAGTAATTACTGAACCCAAAGTCTGAAAATAAATCACATGCACAACATTACAAATCAGAGATAGAGAGATTTAATAGGATTGTTTCAGTATGATTAAACATTGTCGCACTAACCAGGGTTGTATGAGGATGGACATCAAAAGAGAAATTAAGTTTGAAAGAAAACAAAAAAAAGAGGTGGATGGAAAAAATTTCTGTCAAATTTCAAGTGCAAGTAAACAAAAACATCAGGAAGCAAATTTAAAAAACTTTTGAAATAAAAATAAAATACACAGATATGATATTGTCTGAAATAATCTTTAAAATGTAAATATAATTTATGTAAACCTGATGGCATTTATATCAGTACTAAATGCAATTAAAAAAATTGTTCAATGAAAACGAGACATTAAAGAATGGTGTCTTTGCTAAAAATTACTACCACACAGTGACGCAATATTTTTGCTCCCAATAAAAAATATTTTTCAAACAATGACTCAGACGTGTACATGATGAAGACTGACTGATTTTACCTGCTATTTTGATATTAAGGTTGGCATCAAGTAGAAGATTTTCAGCCTTCAGATCTCGATGTACAACACAGCGACTATGACAGTAAGACACTGCAGCCACAATTTGTTTAAATTTTCGTCTCGCCTCCTTCTCATTCATTCGACCATGTGCGACTAGGTGATCTTCAAAACAGAAATATAAAAAGTTTGAATCTCCAACACCTTGCGATGCTAAACCAATCTAATATATATAACATAGCCATGCATTGCTTAGTTAAAGAGAAGACGACATTTGAGAACAATCAATCTAATACTTCTTGAGAAATAAAAAACATTCATTTTCAAAATTCTAGATGGTTTCCTGTCAGCCATTTTGTGTTTTTTAATATGTCTCCAATTCAAGAGGCCACATCAAGGGACCAAGTAGAACCTACATGAAAGTTGAGAAAGTTTTTGCCTGTAAATAGTTAGAACAATCTCTCAATGTCAAAATCCAAGATGGCCACCAGTCAAGTCAGCCATTTTGATTTTCTAACAAGTCCCAAAAGCAAAAGCATGCAACCAGGGGCCAAGGGGAACCTTAATGTTAAATTTGAGATAAATCGTTCGAGTTATTCTCAAGAAAAAGCAATATCAGAAACTGTAAAAGGACTTAAATGATGTGGACAACAGACCACACACATCAAACCACAATGGAAAAATAAATCCTGTACAACATCACACTAAAAACCTCCTAAAAGTTTTACATGTGTAAACAATTTATTGTACTAAAACAACATTGATAATTATGAGATACAAATATGATGATGTACCTATGATATGACATTTATCAAGGAGTTTTACTGTGAAAAAAGACATTCTGTTTCTTTCATAATGCGATTATGTTTTTCAACATATTTTAAGTACAGTAGTTATCTGCTATAGGTCACTGATTGACCCTTTGACTTGTCTAGTTAGTTTAATGGCAAACCTGATAAGTAGGTGCTAACAATATATACATACATATAATCTCCCAATCAATTATGACGTCTTGTTATTACGTCACAGACATTGTATCTAGGCAATTTATTAAGTATAATGAAAATTTAGGAATGAAAGTGCTAATGCTTAATTTGACATGTTGTTTTAAGTTATTCTAATATATTTCACCGGACACAAAGAATTCAACTTTTATATTTGAAGATCTATCAGATGCAATATTATAACATAAATGTATTCCTAGCACCTGTAAATAATATATATTCATATACATATATATACATAGACATATTCATATATATCTACATATATTCATATAAATACATATATATATATATATCATATATATCTAGATATATTCATATATATACATATATATATATACATAGATATATATAGGTATATATATACATATATATAGACATGATCGATCAGGTAAAACATTAGAACATACAAGTGTTCATAGAGACTGTAAACAATAACAGGCTAACGAGCCAAGCTACATCAAGCACCTGCCTTATTACTCAATCTAATTATTACCTCAAACAAACGATCACATTTCTACTCTATATTTAATTATTAATTTTAATGAACAAGAGAAACAAAATATCAACTAAACATAAAAATCTCTTATCTTATACAAAACGGTATAAAAGATGGAATCAATAGTAATTATGACCTTGACCTTCAATATTTGCTCTCATTATCAATCTGAATAAAACTGATGTCTGTCCCATACTGACTGAATAAATACAAAGATTCCTGTAGCCTATATTGTTGATTAAGCTTACTCTTTCCTGAGCACCTCGACTTATTCTCCTCATTTATTTTCAATCATCCCTTTGGAAAACTGTTTTAATCTTTTGTGATAATATAGCCATTCAACATTTTTAGCAATTGTCTTTTACCTTTTAGTTTGTTTGATGTTGTTTCCTTTAGGATCGCTGTCTTTCATCGGCTGATGGCCCTAATGACCTTAATTGGAAAGCTTTTGTGTTTAGAATTTGGCCATGTTTCATTAATTTAGTTTTCAAATTAAGATTTTATTTATATGTCACTATTATCGAAGTATTATGTTTCAGATTATTAAACTACAAACAGAGACAAACATAACTTAATGATCAATGACAGATGAGAAAACTGAGGGATGGTCAGGCCACGATATTAACTCACAGGTCCTATGTACCTGGTCAGCTAGAACTAAAAGGTCGTCACATCATTTACATCCTTGTATTATATCACAAAGTCACATTCCGTAAATAATGTTAATCTAATTTTCACCTGTTTCAAGGTAAGAACAAAATCATACAAGAGATCCCAGAGGGATCTTGGCGCCCACCATTTGAGGATCTGTTTTCAGTTCTTGAAGATTTGTTTATTTTTTTTTGTTTGTTACAGGTGTAAATGTTCATGAACTGGTCTTTATTGAATGTACTCAATGATGGCACATGATATTTTTATTAAGCACCTATTAGCAAATATCATTTGAAAAAGATCCCAAAGTATTATTAGATAGCAGTCAGTTACAGGTGGATAATGGACAATATGCTTGTGCTGTATTACTGTCGACATCCAAGATGGCTGCCTGTGGGCCACCTTGATTTCAAATCAGTCCAAAAAAGGTACAATGCACAACTAGGGACCAAGGGAAACCAATATCTATGAAATATCAGAAGGATCCATCCAGTACTTCCTCAGATATAGCAGTATCTCATCTATTAGATAGATGGTGGGCTAATAAACAAACTACATACAGTCTAACCTGTATTAAACGGCCACTGTCGGGAAATTATAAAAGTGACCTTTATAGAGAGGTGGCCTCTTAATTGAGGTTTCTTATTTTCGAACCCAAGTTGCGGCAATTTCCACATTGACATTTGAATACCGTTTAATAATAAGATATAAAACATCATCTGTTATTATTTATTATCTTGTTAGCAAGTAATTTGAAGACAGACCAATCTTTATTTTATGACACAACTATAACTACAAAAGAAAAAAACTGAAAGGAAGGCATGTACACGTTTTAATGAAGCTATTGAAAAAAAGAACGGATGTCCGATTGTTTCGAATGGCTGTCAATACATTCATTTGCTATCAGATTGTCATTCTCCATAAGACAAGACAGAGTATCACACTTGCCCTCCTGTATTACAAACTTTTTCATTTTTGCCAAAGAATCAATAAAATCATTCATTAACATAATTGGATTGACTTCACTCTTGTCACATTCAGTTTCGATATCATCTGTCTCCTCTGATTCACAATCCGTGTCCTCCTCTCGAATGCGTGCCAGTATTGAACCACTTCTATGTTAAATCATTAATACCTTCATTTCCTGATTTATGTCTTTTACTTTTCCTTTCACACATTATTTTCTATTTCTTCTAAAATTTCGACTTTTCTTTTTAATATTTGGAGAATTTGTGTCCTGCCATCACCGAGGTCTTTAGCAACGACCCGTGCACTTTTTCCAGTCTCAAGCATCGAAAGTGCATTGTAGCGCTCTTCAAGAGTTAAAGTTTTTTGTTTGCTGCTCATATTTTGAAGTGATTTGCCACAATAGTGATAATAAGCCTGTATTGTGTATACCAATGACATAAATGAAATCAAACTCAATATAAAAAGCATAGAGAATTGTCTTTACGTGCCATCAGCTGTTTTCTTTGTAGGAATGTTCATGTGGCGAGAAAACGTGATTCGCAGTCAAGAAAGCTTGTCAAATGACTTATGGTCAAAACGGCCGTTTAAACGAGGTTCGATTGCGAGTTTGGGGATGAAAAGGGTGGCCACTGGCCACATAAGACAGGTAACCGTTAAATTAGGTATCATTAATGAGCAAAATCGATTGGGAGGGTCTGAAAACGGCCATTATAAGCAGGTGGCCGTCTTAACTAAGGTGGCCGTTATGACAGGTTAGACTGTATTTTGACTTTCACAAAAACGCCTTAGTTTCTTTCAAGCTTTTGTTAAAACTGCAGAAACTTTGAACCATAGAAAAAGAACAGCATCTACTGTGTGCAGTTTTCCATATTGTAAAACTTTGTATGCTGGGTGAATCATCCCGTAAATAGCCCAGGTCATTTTGTGATGTGGTCTCCTTCAGGTAGACGGAGGTCAGAAGATACAACAAGGACAACACAGATCAAATTCTCAGTTTCCTGTGACACACAAACTGCTAAGGGTAGGGAGTGCCGAACAACGACCTCTGACCTTCAGTTGAGGTGACGTATAGAAATAGTGCGCTAACCTAAATCAAACCTACAGAATTATTGGCTTCCCCATATATTGAGAAACTGTCAACCTTGTTATTAATATAACTCATGTGAAAAGTCACAAATTCATCAGAACCCTAACATCATTACATCATAAAAAGAAAAATTATTCTGAAATTGCTTACGTCTCAATATTTTCAGCCACAAAAAAAATTGAAATGTAATCAGAAATATTAATTGTATAAATGACAACGTTCATTAATCATTCGATTGAGAGCTGATCACAAAGCCATGACTTACTTACCAAATATTTCCCCTCCACTAGCGTACTCGGTGACAAGGTATAACATACGCTCTGTCTGCATCACCTATACCAAGATTGACAGGTACGTTACAAATATAATACAAAATACATGCATGCATATAATGATTATCTCCTTATAAACATAATATATACAGAAAGATACTGATCAGTTCTCTGCTGACATAACTCATTCAATTTAAGATATTCTTACAACAATTGATATTCTAGACACAAAAACATGATTTTATTATAAGCAAGAATATGCAGTCAGCTTCCTGACAACAGCCATAAAGGACCTGTATTACTTACCTGTTCTCTAGCTTATAAAGAAACAACTTCAATAGGATGAGTTTATATTTTTGTAACTTTTATATCTATACAAAACATCATATACCTCATCATACTACATATATATATGGGTCTTTCTTTGGCTCATTTTAGTGAGAAAATTGGCAAATTGGAAATGGAATTCTCAAGGGCTAATTAAAATAATTTCAATCTTGAAGGAGGTCACCTTTTTGCTGCAAAAATCCCTTAAAAAGACAAACAAACAAAATGATATGTTACAAGCAATGATGGAATTTTCAAGCTCTTTGGTCTTCATTTCAGAATACAACTGCACCTTTTTAGATAGTTAGGAGTCAATTAAAGGGTAAAAATTCATGCCAGAAAGACAACAGGCACCACGCCACAGCATAATCTCACTTACACTATGAGGTAGGTGAGCTAAAAATAAGTGATGGTGTTCAACAAACTTATATAAGGTTGTAACTGTGGTGCTGACATTAACCTTTCATAAATCTGTCACATGACCTCATCTAAAGCATTGTTGTAGTCGGCCTCTGTGTAAAGTTTTATTAATATTCTGTAAGAAATCTTAAGCTGCTGAGGTGAATGTAGTGATTCCAGACAAATCACCTAAAATGGTGAGTGAGTTTGAAGGAGTTGTCCACAGCAGTGGACAAATGGACAGACAGCCGACCAGAAAAACTTGGTCCCCTACATTTACTTTAAAGTCATTCTAAATTTTACATATTTTTATCATTGCATATGACAGGGTAACTGTCCCTATTAATATGTTATAAGACAATTTTAACATGAAATCTGCAGGTACATGTACTGGAATTGAAAAGCCTGATAACAGATTCTTTGTTTTAAAGTACAAGAATATGACTTTGTTAGAATCTTTCTAAAGGGATATTTCCAATCAAATATTTCTTATATTTCATACATACAGGTCTCCCACATTGCAAATAATTGTGGTTTTTTTTAATTCTACTGAATATGCTAAACTGTTGTGTAATGCTCTATGAGCAGCCAGAGTCATTTAAAGGACGTGCCAGGTTTGGAGGAAAGCTAGAGTTCCAAGAGAAAAAACACTGCCCCACGGCCAGGACAGTACCTGGCAACACCCCCACGTAGGCCTCAAACCTGCAAACCTAGAGGTGGAAGGCTTGTGATATAGATGGCATGAGGTTTTAACCACTTGGTCACTACATACCCCAAACCAAAAACAGATCTCTATCAGGCCAGCTTATTAAGTGGTGACTTGACCACTTGGCCAAAGCAGCTCCTAATTCTACTGGACAGGAACAGATCTCTCTCAGGCCAGCTGATAATGTGGTGACTTGACCACTTGGCCAAAACAGCCCCTAATTCTACTGGACAGGAACAGATCTCTCTCAGGCCAGCTGATAATGTGGTGTGGGGTTTAATGTCTAATAGACACATTCACTTTAATTTCAATTTATCATTTATTCATTAGTAATTTAAAATCACAGAAGCGCTCAAATTGATCAAGAATTGATCGTCTCATTTGAAATACAACATCAGTACATTACATTACTGACAAACCAGGTATAAAATATACATATATATATATATATATATACCTTTCATGACGACTTTTCATTTTAAGAATTTCTGACCATGAGAGATAATTAAAATTTACATTGAGTACATGTGAACCAGATATAAACATGAAACACAATGGATCGACTTTGTTGTAGATCTACCCTGTTTTGTAACAATAGAGCCTAGATCAATAATACACAATGTTAACTTTATCAACAAAAGCAGAACAGAGACACTGCACCATCCCACCCCAATCAATATCATACACTAAGGATGTGTTATCTGTGACCTAACTTCATCAACAGTGATCATTAAACACTGTGAGCTGGTTATTTGTATATAACGGTGTAATTTATATTGTCATGACACCAGCAATATCCAGCATGTCAATTGTTATTACAGCTCTGAAGGTTTACATAGGGGCCATGATAAATCAGTCACTGGGCCATTGGCCTATATAAAAGTGCAGTTCACTAAATCAGGTCAAGGTTCATGTTTACTGGTACAGATCTTGAAGTCGTGAAGCTCAGACACAATGATATTTATACATAACACAACTACAGAAAAAATCAGTTAATAATCTTATCTATGACTGTAAACCACATTCTTCTGTCCAAAGAAAATATAAAATACATAGTTTTTAAACATTTATAATATTTACAATGAACAGATATGGAAAACATTTATATATTTATTTCCTTTGATGCAGTATTCACTTATAATTGGTGACAAGTTTTTATTAAGTAGCATTTCTAGTTAGTTCATCTTGTACCAGATATTCAAATTTAACTTTTCAGTTGGAGCCATTTCCTCTCTCAGCGAACTTCATAAATATTAAATTGAATATTGTATTCCATTACAAGAGGCCCACAGACCTTAACAGTCATCTGACTGTAAAGATCTATATATGAAAGAGGTGCAATAGGCCTAAAATAAATTTGCTCAACTACTCTACAGCTTACATAGAAGACATTGTTGGTTCATAAAAACATTTTCTGTAAACTTGAAATCATATCCTTTATAAATGCTACTACAAAAATGCCATTATTCCGAACCTCCTGGTTGTTGAGAGAAATTTTTAATATCACTTGATGCAAGAGATCTTGAATATCAATATCAACAGCCTGGACCTTTTGTTATTGAGAAGAAGTTGTTTGAATATTTTAACACATTTGACCCGTGCGACCTTTAAAAAGAAAAAAAAATGTCAATCTTTCATTCCAGCATGCTACAGGCCGATTATCAACACTCTGGGCCTTTTGATTTTAACACATTTGTCTCTGGTGACCTTGAAAATGAGTCAAGGTCATTCATTTTATCAAACATGCTATGGGCCCAATATCAGCACCCTGGGCCCCTTGGTTACTGAATAGAAGTAGTTACAAATTTTTTTGACATATTTGACACCAGAAACTTTGAAAGTAAGTCAAGGTCATTCAATTAAATAAATTTGGTAGCCCTTCATCCCATTATGCTACAGGATCATTATCAGCACTCTTGGCCTTTTGGTTATTGAGAAGAAGTTGTTTGAAGATTTTAACATATTTCATCCCTGTGATCTTGAAAGTATGTCAAGGTCATTAATTTTAACAAACTTGGTAGTCCTTCATCCCATCATGCTGCAAGACCAGTAACAGCACCCTGGGCCTTTGGAGTATTGAAAAGAAGTCGTTTGAATGGAAAGTTTACGCATGGTGGATGGTGCACGATAACGGACAAAACACGATGGCTATGATAAATTGAAATATTGAAGTTAACACCAGACCATTTCAGTCTTTTTTCTCCTTTAATAAGAAGATTTCTAAGCTCAAATGCACGTCTAGCTTTTATTCCTTTTTGTCAGCAATATTTAATCATTATCATAAAATCACATTTTTTATGGTAGAACTAAAACAAATCTACATACATTTTCTTTTAAAATATCCTTTTCTGGCATATCCATCTCCCTGTATTACATCATGTTTGTATTTTGAGATATTACAGAAGTTTTGATAAAATTCCTTACCTGGTAAAGAGGTATCATGTTGGGATGTTACAGAAGTTTTGATAAAACTCCTTACCTGGTAAAGTTTTATGATGTTGTGATATTACAGAAGTTTTGATAAAACTCCTTACCTGGTAAAGTTGTATGATGTTGTGATATTACAGAAGTTTTGATAAAATTCCTTACCTGGTAAATACGTTTCTATTTTGAGATATCACATAGGTTTTGATAAAATTCCTTACCTGGTAAAGACGTATGATGTTGGGATGTTTCAGAAGTTTCATAATTTCAATTTCTCTGTAAATTTTGTTAAGGTTGTCCTCGTCCAGTTGTGTCTTGTCTATGATTTTGATTGCCACCTGGTAACAAAGATGATCAATGATAACTATCTATTGTACATGAGGAAATATTCAGTCAGTCAGGTATCTAATAATAGAAGAATTAGGAGCATTGTAATACATGTAGTCTGAACTTTGTTTCAAACAATGCAAACCTTTACATCATTTTTCCTGGTCCAAAATTGTAGTTTTAGAGTAATGCTCTGGTTAAAATTTTAAAAATAACAAAGGGCAATAACTCCTAAATTATGCAAAAGAGGGTTCTTTTACACTGCACTTCCCCTTGTTGAGATCTTTCTACCTATGATGTTTTATGTTGATACATCTTAATGACAAAATTATGACGGACAGATGAAGCTGCGACTGTATGCTCTCCTTTTGAGGAGCATAAAAAAAGTTTTACTAATTATAAAACCCTACATATTAATTATTACTTAAATTGTCATATCATGCATGAGCAAGCTGGCACAACTTGAGGCCCCAACTCTGCATATCATGCATGAGTCAGCTGGCACAACTTGAGGCCCCAACTCTGCATAACTAGTGATTGGTATAAAGCTCTTGATGTTGACAGGTGTATACTGTGAAAGAAGAAAAGTGCTTCACTACATTTATCGATCATAAAATTGCACACTATCCATATTTATTGCTTCAAATAAATAAATGCAACACTTTTAGATACAGGTCTTGTACTCACTAAATTCTGTAAGATTTTTTTCTGGCGAGTCTAAAGCGCTATTTCTATAACTTTAACGAGTCTAGTTACTAAGAGATAAGTTTGGTTCCGAAGTTTCGAAGGTATCCCAGCTACAGCAGGAAAACATGAGTCCAGAACTCAAAATATCTGAATCCTCAAAATCACTGTCTAATGCTTGTGTTATGAGAGCTTTTACTCTATATGACATTGAAAACCTGAAGAAAATGTTCTGAAAAGAGACACAGATGTTTCATAAGACAACTGAATTATATTTAACTATTAAACATTAATCTCTTGCGTTATGTTCAATCCACACAACTCAGCTGTCAAATACTGATATATCAGTAGATGTGTGCGTTTTACTAGTTTATATCACTTCACCTACGTAATATCCAACAAGATGAAAAACAAACGAAAACTGTGATTTCTGAGTCAGTTAATGTAAGATATGAAAGTGAAACAAATACACTAGATATGCTGTAATTAGCACATTTCCTCACGCTAACAACCTCTACAAGTCAAGATACCACTCCTAACTTTCTAAAGTAATGACAAACAGATATTTCAATTTTAACAACAAATGAAGATTTTAATTTTAACGACAAATGAAGATTTCAATCCTGACTTGTGATTGGTGGAAATGCACACATATGCTGATCTTTTTGTCTGCTCCTGGCAGTAGGGATTCAAACCACCATTGATAAATAAAAAATACTGCTATTTTTCTAAATACATTTCATTACATCGCAACGACAATTCTTCTGCTTCATTGGCAGAAAGAACAAAAAATACATCCATGTAAACAAGAGTCTGCTTTTCAATCAAAATTTTACAGATTTGTTCGGGGAATTTTGCAGCAAATATTATTGGGCAATATTTCCATCTATTTTAAGGGTTGTGCGAAATGAATTGAAACCTTGAAGGTCTCCCTCAATCTGAAAGAATTCCCAAAGAAGACACGAATTATGCTATGATATGAAACTGTGAAATGAGAAAATATCGTGTGAATTGGAAATTAAAGTTGTATATCGGTCGGTTAGTTGATCGGAATTCCTTCGCCACGACTACTCCTGTTTCTGGGCATCATCTCACCGACAAATGTCAGCGGTCTGGTGACGTGTTAAAAAAAAAGAAGAAGAAAATTATATAATTCAGCCATATTATTTAGTGACCGGTTATGGGGAGAAATCTTAAGTCCCTCGTAGGGGAGATAACTTAAGTCTAGAGTAAATGTGAGAATTTGAGCAAGGCTACAGAGAAAATGAGCACTTTTTCATCCATAATTGCTCTTTTCATATCCTAGAAGTCTTACTGTTGTGTACCTCGTGAAAACCCACACGATCATGAAGGTAACCACTTACGTACCTTTTCACAACCAAACCCTGAAAGGCTAGGTGAAAGGGCAAGGTGTTACACTGTGCCACCTGACCACCCACTAGAAGTTAACTGTACTTATCTAGAAATCTGGGAACATCAAAAATGTGTGAACTATGATTTCCTTTTTAAATTAGTCTGCACCCTGAAAACACTTCAACTTTGATTCAAAACTAGTGCCACCATGCACATTACACTTTAAATTTACAACATGAAGAACAGTATCTGCAGTGTCTTACAGGAATTTGAATGGGGGGACTTATCAGCAATGAAGTCCTATATGTCAATTCTGAATAATTTAAAACCAAGAAAAATTGAGGCACAGAATTAAGTTCAATATTGAACAATTCAGTACTGGTGGGTACCCTGTATAAAACAATTCAGTACTGGTGGGTACCCTGTATAAAACAATTCAGTACTGGTGGGTACCCTGTATAAAACAATTCAGTACTGGTGGGTACCCTGTATAAAACAATTCAGTACTGGTGGGTACCCTGTATAAAACAATTCAGTACTGGTGGGTACCCTGTATAAAACAATTCAGTACTGGTGGGTACCCTGTATAAAACAATTCAGTACTGGTGGGTACCCTGTATAAAACAATTCAGTACTGGTGGGTACTGGTGGGTACCCTGTATAAAACAATTCAGTACTGGTGGGTACCCTGGTGGGTACCCTGTATAAAACAATTCAGTACTGGTGGATACCCTGTATAAAACAATTCAGTACTGTTGGGTACCCTGTATAAAACAATTCAGTACTGGTGGGCACCCTGTATAAAACAATTCAGTACTGGTGGGTACCCTGTATAAAACAATTCAGTACTGGTGGGTACCCTGTATAAAACAATTCAGTACTGGTGGGTATAAAACAATTTAGTACTGGTGGGTACCCTGTATAAAACAATACAGTACTGGTGGGTACCCTGTATAAAACAATTCAGTACTGGTGGGTACCCTGTATAAAACAATTCAGTACTGGTGGGTACCCTGTATAAAACAATTCAGTACTGGTTGGTACTGGTGGGTATCCTGTATAAAACAATACAGTACTGGTGGGTACCCTGTATAAAACAATTCAGTACTGGTGGGTACCCTGTATAAAACAATTCAGTACTGGTGGGTACTGGTGGGTATCCTGTATAAAACAATACAGTACTGGTGGGTACCCTGTATAAAACAATTCAGTACTGGTGGGTACCCTGTATAAAACAATTCAGTACTGGTGGGTACCCTGTATAAAACAATTCAGTACTGGTGGGTACCCTGTATAAAACAATTCAGTACTGGTGGGTACCCTGTATAAAACAATTCAGTACTGGTGGGTACCTGTATAAAACAATACAGTACTGGTGGGTACCCTGTATAAAACAATTCAGTACTGGTTGGTACTGGTGGGTATCCTGTATAAAACAATTCAGTACTGGTGGGTACCCTGTATAAAACAATTCAGTACTGGTGGGTACCCTGTATAAAACAATTCAGTACTGGTGGGTACCTTGTATAAAACAATTCAGTACTGGTGGGTACCCTGTATAAAACAATTCAGTACTGGTGGGTACTGGTGGGTACCCTGTATAAAACAATTCAGTACTGGTGGGTACCCTGTATAAAACAATTCAGTACTGGTGGATACTGGTGGGTACCCTGTATAAAACAATTCAGTACTGGTGGGTACTGGTGGGTACCATGTATAAAATAATTCAGTACTGGTGGGTACCCTGTATAAAACAATTCAGTACTGGTGGGTTCCCTGTATAAAACAATTCAGTACTGGTGGGCACCCTGTATAAACAATTCAGTACTGGTGGGTACCCTGTATAAAACAATTCAGTACTGGTGGGTACTGGTGGATACCCTGTATAAAACAATACAGTACTGGTGGGTACCCTGTATAAAACAATTCAGTTATGGTGGGTACCCTGTATAAAACAATTCAGTACTGGTGGGTACCCTGTATAAAACAATTCAGTACTGGTTGGTACTGGTGGGTATCCTGTATAAAACAATACAGTACTGGTGGGTACCCTGTATAAAACAATTCAGTACTGGTGGGTACCCTGTATAAAACAATTCAGTACTGGTGGGTACCCTGTATAAAACAATTCAGTACTGGTGGGTACCCTGTATAAAACAATTCAGTACTGGTGGGTACCCTGTATAAAACAATTCAGTACTGGTGGGTACCCTGTATAAAACAATTCAGTACTGGTGGGTACCCTGTATAAAACAATTCAGTACTGGTGGGTACCCTGTATAAAACAATTCAGTACTGGTGGGTACCCTGTATAAAACAATTCAGTACTGGTGGGTACTGGTGGGTACCCTGTATAAAATAATTTAGTACTGGTGGGTATCCTGTATCAAACAATACAGTACTGGTGGGTACTGGTGGGTACCCTGTATAAAACAATTCAGTACTGGTGGGTACCCTGTATAAAACAATTCAGTACTGGTGGGTACCCTGTATAAAACAATTCAGTACTGGTTGGTACTGGTGGGTATCCTGTATAAAACAATACAGTACTGGTTGGTACCCTGTATAAAACAATTCAGTACTGGTGGGTACCCTGTATAAAACAATTCAGTACTGGTGGGTACCCTGTATAAAACAATTCAGTACTGGTGGGTACCCTGTATAAAACAATTCAGTACTGGTGGGTACCCTGTATAAAACAATTCAGTACTGGTGGGTACCCTGTATAAAACAATTCAGTACTGGTGGGTACCCTGTATAAAACATTTCAGTACTGGTGGGTACCCTGTATAAAACAATTCAGTACTGGTGGGTACCCTGTATAAAACAATTCAGTACTGGTTGGTACCCTGTATAAAACAATTCAGTACTGGTGGGTACCCTGTATAAAACAATTCAGTACGGGTGGGTACTGGTGGGTACCCTGTATAAAACAATTCAGTACTGGTGGGTACCTGTATAAAACAATTCAGTACTGGTGGGTACCCTGTATAAAACAATTCAGTACTGGTGGGTACCCTGTATAAAACAATTCAGTACTGGTGGGTGACCTGTATAAAACAATTCAGTACTGGTGGGTACCCTGTATAAAACAATTCAATACTGGTTGGTACCCTGTATAAAACAATTCAGTACTGGTGGGTACCCTGTATAAAACATTTCAGTACTGGTGGGTACCCTGTATAAAACAATTCAGTACTGGTGGGTACCCTGTATAAAACAATTCAGTACGGGTGGGTACCCTGTATAAAACATTTCAGTACTGGTGGGTACCCTGTATAAAACAATTCAGTACTGGTGGGTACCCTGTATAAAACAATTCAGTACTGGTGGGTACCCTGTATAAAACAATTCAGTACTGGTGGGTACCCTGTATAAAACAATTCAGTACTGTTGGGTACCCTGTATAAAACATTTCAGTACTGGTGGGTACCCTGTATAAAACATTTCAGTACTGGTGGGTCCCTGTATATAGCAATTCAGTACTGGTGGGTACCCTGTATAAAACAATTCAGTACTGGTGGGTACCCTGTATAAAACATTTCAGTACTGGTGGGTCCCTGTATGAAACAATTTAGTACCGGTGGGTCCCGGTATAAAACAATTCAGTGCTGTTTCAGTAGCTCTTGTGTTAATATAATACCCTCAATTTACATAATTTATATATAGGAAAACTACATTAAAACTAACTTGTTTAATGTGAATTAAACTGTCATTCCATTGACTTTATCATATAAGCCCTGCATTGATGAACTCTGGCATTGATAAGTAAGGGAAATCAGGATTGTTATATAACTGAGTAGTTGGTAGAGTATGATGCATGTTCTGTTGATGAACATTCAAGCTCTGGCATTTATAAGTAAGGGAAATAAGTGTAACCCTGGTAAAATACTAGCCGCAATATACCACTCGGTTAGAGAGAACTTCTCTTTAGCTCAATAGGTTGAGCGTCAGACAAGTAAGTCAGGGGTCCCGGGTTTGATTCCTAGCGGAGGCATTGAAATTAATAATGACCTCTGTTACATAAGCATTGTTATGTAACTGAGTAGTTGGAAGAGTATGATGCATGTTTCGCATTTGGTGCTACTGGTGCACATGAGCCTTGGTAGTCATTCAACAGAGGTGACATCAATGAGTGTGTGTGTTGTCTTCACTCTGACAGGACTTTCCACCCATCTACCCTTAATTCATGTAATTAAATCAACATTGCTTGGTTCTGTTAGTCTTGCTTTTCCTGCGATCTAGATGTCGGGTGTTTTGAGTACCAGGTGTGCCTATCATTTGAGAGAGGAAAGATGGACTTTCACCAGATCTTGTCCGAGACACAGGAGTTTTGAAATGTGATGGCGATTTTATTGTACATTTACTCAAATAAACAGTACACGTCCCAGTAACTAGGCAGAGGAAACCCCAGTGCAGATTTTAGGTTATAAATGATTCATCATTTATATTCGTTCAAGAGAATCAAATCTGATCATAAGAATGATTTCTTTCCGCAATAATAATTGAATCCTAACCCAGGCATAAGTTGCTTATTTCCTTTACTTTTATAGTGAGCCAGAGTTCTGATGTTCACTAACACCACAATGACATGTGAAAGTCCATACACTACCATGACCAAACTAATTCTGAAGATGGTTAGTCATCAAGCTATCTATCAAAACTTTCAAAGAAATATCTAAGTTGTATACAACTAAAAACATATCACCTGATTTCCTTTGATTTCAATGTTGTATTTTTTTTTAATTTACGTTTAACCATTAACTTGTTCACCAATTCCTCCTTATCCGAATCTACGTGAGTTTTATCATCGAAACTGGACGCATAAGGTGAAGTTTCAACTGCATCCTTCCAAATGCGAACGTGAAGATGTTCCCAAAACAGTAAATAGTTAACAGGATTTGGTCGATTTATTTGTTATTGTCTATCATGTCAGTTGTGTATATTCAACCCAGAATATGTTATAATAACTATAACCGACCTACATCAAAATTTCGTTTACTTTCCTTCAAAATAACCATCATGAAATATACTATAAGATACATACTAGTTGACGATGGCTATAATGTACTACTTGATAACTCGTCTTTTTACTAAGGTTTATTTCAAAAATAAAGACCTTATACGTGAAACATAAACATAAGCTGGTTTACCAATGAAGCACATCAATTTGGTTTTTTTTTCTAATCGCTTAATCTTCATAACAGTAACAATACATGAATAAAATGTCAATGTTTACAACGTCGAGTTCTAAAACGATTCATAAGGAGTGTAAACTATTGTAAACTTGACGGATTTTGGTGACACTGGGCAACTTACCTTGGTTTTTGTGGCAATATGAGTTGCCAATTTGACAACTGCGAAATTTCCTTTTCCAATCGTCCGTTCCATTTCATAGTAACCTACTCTTACTATACCCCCACTACCAGGGGCCTTTCCAGCCATCTTAGTGGCCGCCATTTTGTTTCTCTCGAAGAAAAGCGCATGCGTAACAACCTAGTCGAGCAGCCTCGGAACTCTTCCAACGAGCACCTACCATCTTCCGATTTATTCACAGAAATGAAAACAAATATAACACACGTATGACACGTATCTGCAACAAAGAATGTAAATGAGTAGATAAATAGTTATTCAAACCCTTGCCTACCATATAATGTTTGTTAAAACGGGATTGAAAATACAAAAGGCGAACGAAGTATAATTTATTTAAACCCGGACTTAAATTTATCTCTAGACTACACTAGGACATGTACTGATCTGAACGGAGAGAAAAGTCCGTCGTTACATGTTATGTGTACTTAGATCTATATGTAGACCCTGTAAGAATGCAATGAAAATATAAATAAATACGTAAATAAATGAACTTGATTTACAGGTATATAAAATATATATTATTCTTAATTTAACATTTTCCCCTTGCCAAATTTGGCAATCATTTTCCCGGAACCCGATAAAAACAATTTTTGAAAAATTTTCCTGTTGAGCGTCGAGTTTCAGATTTTTTAACAGACAGAATTCGAAAACCTTCAAAATCCGAATTTCAGAAGAAAACTGTAATTTTCTTGACTGATCAACTTTTTGAGATTTATCTGTATTTTATAAAATTTGATATCTCACTTAAGGTTTGATCTTTCGTATGATACCTTATATAATTTAACATCTACATAAAATCAGGTTGTTTTGATAACTTTTAGATATGATATAATATGTTTTCTATTTTTGATTGGAAAAAACCCAATCAGCAAATGGCTTGAGCAGAAGTTCTTACCATTAACTAGATTTATCATAAAATATTGTAGCTACAGCAAGCTGTGATGATAAAGAACTTCATAAAGGAAACAACAGATATTTGTTTAGCATATAAAACCATTTCATAAATAAATAGATGATTTATACAATAAATCATTATATCTATAACGGGGGGGGGGGGGGAGGGGGAGGGGGAGGGTTTAGTATTTACTCTTTTTCCTCCTATATGATATTATTCTAAAAATAACTCAACACGTGATGAATACTAACAAACATCAGTTTCATGCCCCGATATCGGATTGCCCTAAGTAAGTGATGATAACAGTAGCCTTTTCTTACGTTTACTACCTTCGGTTGGTGGATAATTAAATGAACATCATGCGAGAGGGCCAGTCTTGTCGGAAATCCAGGGCGATTGGACAAAGTGTCTTGCCCAGAACATAACCACGACTGCACGAGACCTATGATCTTAGTCTCCCGGTAGGATTCGAAAAACAAACCTCGGATCTTCACCCGATCGTATTTGTCTCCGTTAACATGGCTTCCGCGTCAACGTAAATAATAATAAAAAAAACATTTTGTTTGTTTTCTTATGGGTATTTGTTTGTTTTCAACAAATACAGTTCACATAAAGTAAGTAAATTTTTTTTTCGACGAGAAGCCCCATTTGGCCTGTTATGGTATAATAGGACGTTCGCTTGAGGGCGAGAGGTCAATAGTTCGAGCCCCAGTGTGGGCGGAGAATTTTTCAGTTTTGCTTCCTCCTACACCTGGATCTAAGTTGAAATTATGAACTGGTGTGTACTGTTCGTGACTGTAATGGGCTGTCTATACATTTCTTACCTGTAGTTTGACATTCTGCTTAACTAACTGATTTAAACGCACATTAAACGCGTGCCCTAAAACCATTGATTACGGATGACGCAAGGTTTATGTATTATTCAAAACGACATGAATAATTCACATACAAATCAGGACTCGGCTTAAAACATCCTTGATGATCAAATACATTTATTATCCAGGTATTATAATAAGATTCATTGTTATCAGCACATCAACATTATATAAAACCGAGTGTATCAGTATTTCCACTCACTGCACTGACTTGCCCATAAAATACTTAAGTTTTATTTTGTTTAATTTTCCCCTCAATCATCGTGACATTTTATCGATAATGAGTTCCTTATATGCGGTTTTATTCATACGTCGACAATCCCTTGTGTAGTTTTGAATTTCACAATTATTTTTCTTGTTTTATCTTTGTGAGTGTATTGTAGGGGATGTGTGGGGTTGTGGGGAAGGGGTTATCATAGAGTGAAATTCGTTGTAAATAACACTTGGAGACTAACGGAATTAAAGATGTCAAAATCAGGGCAGAACAAAAACTAAATAATTCTGGTGACAGGTCTCTACATCGATTACCGAACTTCCAAAGTTCTGTCCAGTTTCTGTCGTTCCGATGCCGCCATAGAACATGCACATTCTACATGCTGGGGTCCCGATTGCGACGCCTTGTCGTACGATTGAACTCTGTCTAAATTCGCTCTCGTTGGCGGGCGTAGGATATACGTGGTTTGTTTCTTGGCTTTCAAAATCTTTCTTTCTATATCTTATATAGATATATATATATAACACGGACATACAGTGTATCTAATTTTGAGTGGTCGAGTGGTGCAGTGATAACGCATTTGTCTACCACCTAGGTGTCCGCGGTACGATTTCCCGCACATGCGATAAAAAGGTACTCCGGTTTCCTCCCACATCACGACCACTTGTGTTCTTCCATTCAGGCCAACAATACTGATAAATATAAGTTGTTTTTCAGGTTTAATCATTTTATCTAAAAAAAAGAGACATGGATATGACAAAAGCTATTACAACTTAAATGTCCTTTCCTTAACAAACACATATTGGAGATCGCTTGTGTAATTTCCCTTATTTGTTACTGTCACAGGGCAAAACAATGATCTCTGTTACATTACTGTAAGCATAAAACAATACTTAGCATACGTAACCCTCTGCTTTTCTAAAGTTATATTACATCCTGTGATTTTCCTTTCTCCTTGACGACCCTCAGTCCCTCAGAAAATACTGAGGAGCGGAAGAAAAAAGAAAGTCAAAGGACATTGTATGTGTTCTGGTCATTTAATCTGAAACATGTTATAATAAAAATAACCAAACTCACTTTATCTGTGTTGAGCTATATACCATTTGTCACAAATAATTTAAACATTATGTGAACATCTACCTATGATATTTATCACCAAGAAATATTTTTATATTCCATTTACATTGCTTAAATTTGAGTAATGTTTGTGAAACATTTCTCTACACTATTCTTAGCTGCAACCGGACGATATGTATGCGCACGCGTGATATATGGGTGGGTGGGTGGGTGGATAGGTGGGTGTTTGAGTGTGTGTGTGAGGGTGTGTGTGTGTGTGTGAGTGTGTGTTTGGGTGTGGTAGGGTGTGTGTTTGGGTGTGGTAGGGTGTGGTAGGGTGTGTCAGGGTGTGGTAGGGTGTGTTTCAGGGTGTGGTAGGGTGTGTGTCAGGGTGTGGTAGGGTGTGTGTCAGGGTGTGGTAGGGTGTGTGTTTGGGTGTGGTAGGGTGTGTTTCAGGGTATGGTAGGATGTGTGTGTGGGTGTGGTAGGGTGTGGTAGGGTGTGTGTCAGGGTGTGGTAGGGTGTGTTACAGGATGTGGTAGGGTGTGTTTCAGGGTGTGGTAGGGTGTGTGTCAGGGTGTAGTAGGGTGTGTGTCAGGGTGTAGTAGGGTGTGTGTTTGGGTGTGGTAGGGTGTGGTAGGATGTGTTTCAGGGTGTGGGAGGGTGTGTGTCAGGGTGTGGTAGGGTGTGTGTAAGGGTGTGGTAGGGTGTGTGTTTCAGGGTGTGGTAGGGTGTGGTAGGGTGTGTTTCAGGGTGTGATAGGGTGTGTGTCAGGGTGTGGTAGGGTGTGTGTCAGGGTGTGGTAGGGTGTGTTTCAGGGTGTGGTAGAGTGTGTGTCAGGATGTGGTAGGGTGTGTGTCAGGGTGTGGTAGGTTGTGTTTCAGGGTGTGGTAGGGTGTGTGTCAGGGTGTAGTAGGGTGTGTGTTTGGGTGTGGTAGGGTGTGTGTCAGTGTGCGGTGGGGTGTGGTAGGGTGTGTGTCAGGGTGTGGTAGGGTGTGTGCCAGGGTGTGGTAGGGTGTGTGTTTGGGTGTGGTAGGGTGTGTGTCAGGGTGTGGTAGGGTGTGTGTCCGTGTGTGGTAGGGTGTGGGAGGGTGTGTTTCAGGGTGTGGAAGGGTGTGTGGTAGGGTGTGGTAGGTGTTTCAGGGTGTGTCAGTGTGTGGTAGGGTGTGGGTGGGTGTCATGGTGTATCAGGGTGTGTGTCAGGGTGTAGTAGGGTATGGTAGGGTGTGTATCAGGGTGTGGTAGGGTGTGTGTCAGGGTGTGGTAGGGTGTGTGTCAGGGTGTGGTAGGGTGTGTGTCAGGGTGTGGTAGGGTGTGTGTCAGGTGGTGTAGGGTGTGTGTCAGGGTGTGGTAGGGTGTGTGTCAGGGAGTGGTAGGGTGTGTGTCAGGGTGCGGAGGGTGTGTGTCAGGGTGTGTGTCAGTGTGTGGTATGGTTTGGTAGGGTGTGGTAGGGTGTGTTTCAGGGTGTGGTAGGGTGTGTGTCAGGGTGTGGAAGGGTGTTTGTCAGGGTGTGGTAGGGTGTGTGTCAGTGTTTGGTAGGGTGTGTGTCAGGGTGTGTCAGGGTGTGTGTCAGGGTGTGGTAGGGTGTGTGTCAGTTTGTGGGATGGTGTGTGTCAGGGTGTGGTAGGGTGTGTGTCAGGGTGTGGTAGGGTGTGTTTCAGGGTGTGGTAGGGTGTGTGTAAGGGTGTGGTAGGGTGTGTGTCTGTGTGGTAGGGTGTGGGAGGGTGTGTGTCAGGGTGTTGGAGGGTGTGTGTCAGGGTGTGGTAGGGTGTGTGTCAGTGTGTGTCAGGGTGTGGTAGGGTGTGGTAGGGTGTGTTTCAGGGTGTGGTAGGGTGTGTGTCAGGGTGTGGTAGGGTGTGTGTCAGGGTGTGGTAGGGTGTGTGGTAGGGTGTGTGTCAGTGTGTGGTAGGGTGTGGGAGGGTGTGTGTCAGGGTGTGGTAGGGTGTGTGTCAGGGAGTGGTAGGGTGTGGTAGGGTGTGTTTCAGGGTGTGGTAGGGTGTGGTAGGGTGTGTTTCAGGGTGTGGTAGGGTGTGGTAGGGTGTGTTTC